AAATCAGCTGACAGTCTTATGGGAGCTCCTTTGTAGGTAACGGACTGCTTTTCTCTTGCTGCTTTTAAGATTCTCTCTTTGTATTTAACCGTTGGCATTTTGATGATGATGTGTTTTGGTGTGGACCTCTTTGGGTCAACTTGTTGGGACTCTCTGTGCTTCCTGGACTTGTATGTATGTTTCCTTCACCAAGTTAGGGAAGTTTTTTGTCATTATTGTTTCAAATAATTTTTCAATTTCTTGCTCTTTCTCTTCTCCTTCAGGCACCCCTGTGATGCAAATGTTGGCACACTTGAAGTCCCAGAGGCTCCTTACACTATCCTCATTTTTTTGGATTCTTTTTTCTTTTTGCTGTTCTGGTTGGGTGTTTTCTGCTTTCTTATATTCCAAATCGATGGTTTGCTTCTTGGCTTTACCTACTCTACTATTGAGTTTCTGTAAATTATTCTTTATTTCAGTTAGTGCATCCTTAATTTCTGATTGGCCCTTTTTTATGTTGTTAATGTTCTCACTAAGTTCCTCGGTGGTCTCGTTAAGTTCCTTGAAGGTCTCACTAAGTCCCTTAGATGTCCCTGAGCAACCTTATAACCTGTGTTTTGAACTCTGCATCTGTTAGATTGCTTATCTCCATTTTGTTTAGTTCTTTTCCTGGAGTTTTGTTTTTTTCTTTCATTTGGGACATGTTTCTTTGTCTCCTCATGTTGGCTGCTTCCCTGTGATTGTTTCTATGTATTAGGCAGAGTTGCTATGCCCCCTAGGCTTCGTAGGGTGGCCTACTGTTGTAGGTGTCCTGTAGGATCCAATGGCACAGTCTCCCTGATCACCCCAGCTGGGCCCTTGCAGTGCACCCCTAGTGTGGACTACACACCCTTCTGTTGTAATTGAGTCTTGATTGCTGTTGGCACGTCAGTGGGAGGGGTTTACTCAGGCTGATCAGTTGCAAGGACTGGGTGTGCCCACTAGCCATTACCTTGGAGGATCAGCTGTGAAGGGGCCCACCACACAGAGCACCACACTTACTTCAGCAGGGCTCTGGTACCCACTGAGTCTACTTATTGAGTGTGTCACTTGTGGAGGTGGTTGGGTGGTAGTGTTTCAATGTGGTCTGAAGTTGTCTACTGGGTGTGCTGGCTCTGCGGCAAGGTCAGCCACTGCCTGTGCCCTATCCAGGGCCACCTGGCATAAGCTACAAAGTGAACTGCAGATGGCTGCTTCTTGTGCTGGGCTTGGAGGTGTCCAGGAAAAGCCAAGTTGTGAACCAAGGCTGGCTGCTTCTAGTGCCAGGCCTGGGGCCACTTAACGAGAGGTATGGGGCTCACTGAGTCTGGCCCCTTTTGAGCCTCGGTTCTGCACCACTCTTGTGGGCTGTTGGGTTGCACAGGCCCCTCTGGATCCCCAGTTCCCACCGTTCTTTTGGGCAGTTGTGTTGCACAGGGCCCAGTGGAGCCCCATGTTCTGCCGTTGGTGGCTGGGGAGTGCTGCTGCCCAGTGGGGCTCAGCTTCTGCTCAGCCATTGCTGTAGTTGTTGGGGATGGTTCTCTGCTGCTGGTCTGTGCTTCTTTTGCCTGGGGATGGATGTCTGCTCCCCAGCCTCTGTTGCTGGGGGTATATCTCAACTTTGATCGGGCTGCTACTGCGGGGAATGATGCTGAGCTCCCAGCCATTTGCGGTTTCCGTAACGGGCACCTGACAGCTCCACTACTGTGCACTGGTCTGTGTTGACATAGGGTATCCACTGGTCTGATGGTGCCAGGTGCACTGGTGGGCTCAGGTACCAGATGGTGCTTGTTTAAGAGATTTTAGGAAACTCTGAAGCAGGATCCAAGACAGGCCAATCCAATGGTAAAGCCTTTGGAAACAGCTTGGGTGGGCCTGAAAGTTGGGTGGGGCAGGGCCTCAGGGAATCACTAGGGTGGGGCAAACAGTGTGAGCCAGGTTGCTGGAGTCCCAGATATGGCGGCTGTCTGCCAGCCCTGTGGCGGAAGGGCTCACCAAAGGAAAAACGGCCTCTACCATCATGTCTGTTCAGGAGAAAGCTGCCCTTCCAGCTCTCGTCTGGATGCCAGACAGCTCAGCTCTTCCCTGTTCTCTGGTGCCCCTCAAGCTGCCTCCCCTTGGAGCTCAGAGGGAGCAGGTCTGAGTAAGTCTGTTCGCAGACCCTGCTGGGGCTCCCGCAGCCTCAGCCTTTTTCTGCCCCAGTTCCTGCTGGTTTTTCCAGCCAGAAGTTACGGGGATTCTTTTCCTCGCACTGGGACCCTGAGCTGGGTGCCTGGTGTGGGACGGGGACCCCTCAGTCCTCAGGAAGGACCTTCCCAGCTGAGGTCTCTCCTGATTTTTATCCGCCACACGTGGTTGTGGGACCAGCCAGTCCGCGCCCCTGCCCCTCCTACCAGTCTCGATGTAGCCGCTTTAATTCCGTAGTTGTAGGACTTCCATTCAGCTCGATTTCAGGTGGTTCTGAATGGTGGTTGTGTTGTAGTTTTGTTGTAATTTAGATGTGGTTGTGGTAGGATGTGATACCATGTTTACCTATGCCGCTATCTTGACTGGACTCCTCAGTTTTTAATTTTTTGAGGAAACACCATATTGCTTTCCATAGTGTCTGCACCAGTCTGCATTCCCACCAGCAGTGTACTAGAGTCCCCTTTTCTCCACACCCTCGCCAGCACTTGTTTGATGATTTGTTGATGGCAACCATTCTGGTAGGTGTGAGGTGATACCTCATGTTTTAATTTGCATCTCTCTGATGATTAGTGATGTTGAGCATTTTTTCATATGTCTCTTGGCTGTTTTATGTCCTGTTTGGAGAGGCGTCTAAAAAATATGGAACACTTCACGAATTTGCCTGTCATCCTTGCTCGGGCCGTGCTAATCTTCTCTGTATCATTCCAATTTTAGTATATGTGCTGCTGAAGCGAGCACTATTCTAATAAAAAAAATTTTTTTTTATTTTTATTGATTTTAGAGAGAGAGGAAGGGAGAGGGAGAGAGAGAGAAACAACGACGAGAGAGAACATTGATCGGCTGCCTCCTGCACGCCCCCACTGGGGATTGGCCGGCATCCTGGGCATGTGCCTTGGTGGGGAATCGAACCGGACACCTCTTGGTGCATGGGACAACACTCAGCCACTGAGCCACACTGGCTGGGCGCATCTTCTCTAATTTTAAATCCTGCAATCTGCTGTCTTCTACTAGAGTTGAGACTTTTTAAACTTTGCTTTTGCATTTATAGCTTTATCTAATTCCATGTTGTGGAGTGAAGCTAAAGAATATGGGACAGAGCTATAGGTAGACTAATGGATATCACAGAGAAGATTTGAGAGAGTGGTTGTACTTGACTTTGAATCCCTGGCTATATTTTGGCATGCCAGACTTAGAGCTCAAATCCAAGTCTCTTGAGGTCTTGTGTTAGTACCACCACTTAGGGCCAGGCTTAGGCATTTCCCAGCCTGTTCAGAGTTTGTTTTTTCTGACCTAATTTTTCTGACCTTATTTACCTATTCTCTCCCAGAACTAATTCTGGTTAATACCCAATAGCAGTACACTGGGATGTAGTTTACAGTCACCATAGTTTTAATATTAATGGTAAATTTGTTGTTAATTCTTTCTATGTGAAAAGAATTTTCCATCATGGCATGGTTTGCCTAGGCAGATGGTGAGTTGCTTGTTAATGGAATTTAGCAGAAGCTAGATGACCATTTGATAGGAATCTTATGAAAGGTTTTGTTGAGTAGAACACAGAGGACTGCATTGAATAATCATAATCTCAATTTTGATATTGTGTGATTTTAAGTAACAGCAATACATAAATGTAAAAGTAAATACTTTCCTGTTGTGACATTTGCTGCTACTGTGAGTAATGCCAGCATAGTTTGTGAATATGAGATATGTAAATATGGCATGAGGGAGAATAACAAGGAATATACTTTCTTGGAAACTACATTATGAACATAGGATAGGAACTCTATTTTTATGTCTTGTGTGCTAGACATTATCTGTGACAAATGAAGTGCAAGACTTGTTCATGTTTATTTTCCTCTTCATTATAATGAGATTTTTGAGACATGAGCTGGGCAAGGAGAGGAGTAACACTGTTTACTGTGAATTCTGTATTTCCCAGCCCCTTAAAATATTTGGATTGCCCAGCTGGTGTGGCTCAGTGGATAGAGCATCGTCCCATGGACTGAGAGGTCCTGGTTCAATTCCCAGTCAGGATACATGCTCAGGTTGTGGGCTCTATCCCCAGTAGGGGGTATGCAGGAGGCCGCCAGTTGATGGTTGTCTCTCACGTCGATATTTCTATTTCATCTCTCTCTCTCCCTTCCTCTCTCTCTAAAAAATCAATAAAATTGTTAAAAAAAAAAAAAGAAAAATATAAAAGGCTAGAATGTTAAAGAGGCTTTTAATATTAATAAAGATGCTTTAATATTACTAGCCATAGTTACCCCTTATTGATTTAAACTTACTGTTGATTCTTTTCCCAGTTTCTAGAGAGATGGCTTTCAAAATGGAATTAAGGAATTTATCTTTCTTGTTTGTTCCAGTTTCAAAAATAATATATGTATTACCAAAACATTCCGTAATTAGATAAGTATATAACACAGGCAGTTAAAGTCTCCTGACATCTAACCTCCTAGAGGTAACCACTTTTTATAGTTGGTGGATTAGAATAAGGAAATTAATAATAGCCCTGGCCAGGTGGCTCAGGATGTAGGTTTGATCCCCATTCAGGGCACATACAAGTCAACCATGAATGCAAAAATAAGTGGAATGACAAAATCACTGTCTGTCTGGCTCTCTCTCCTTCCCTCCCTCCCTCTCCTTTCTTTTCTAAAAATCAATAAAAATAAATTTTAAAAAGAAAATTAATAATAAATGTATAATTCTCTTTTTAGATTAAGGTGTTAGCTAATATATTGAAATCATTTGGTCCATAATGTTTTCAAATTAAATGCCTGACAATTCAGGTGGTCTGTTCAGATTTTATTTTTTATCTTTAGGGAGATTATACGAAGAAAAGCTGTTCTGGCATTATACAAATTCCATCTCATTGCTCCTAATCAAGTACAACATATCCATATTAAGTTTCGGAAAGCACTTTGTGACAGAGATGTTGGGGTCATGGCTGCTTCCTTGCACATATACCATAGGATGATTAAGGTAAGTTGGAAATTTCAATAGGTACTAAGTAGTTGCTATTAGAAAAATATAATTATGGAAAAAGAACTCAGATTTTTCAGTCAAACGCTTAATTAACATTTCAAGTTTTTATTATTGACTTTTGAATAGTAATTTTTTAAAGTTGTTGGTAGCTGAATAGGAGGCACATTATAGAATTATTTTTTTTTATTGTTGTTAATCTTCCCCCAAAGATATTTTTGGCATTGATTTTTAGACAGGGTGGAAGGGAGGGAGGGAAGGAGAGAGGGAGAGAGAGAAACATCAATCAGTTGCCTCCTGAACATGTCCTGACCAGGGATCGAACCCACAACCTGGGTATGTGACCTGACCAGGAATCGACCCAGCGACCCTTCAGTGCACTGGATGACACTCCAACCACTGAGCCACACTGGCAAGGGCAGTTTGTTTTTTTTAATGCCTGAAAGTTTTTCATGTTAGTAAAGAAGCATAGAAAAATGGTAGGTAGGAATGTGATTGAAATTTGTAGATTTGTGGTTTTTCAAGCAGTGATTGTGTTTTATACAGCTTCATGGGATGCATAACAGCTTATAGAAATGAGGAGAGCCCATAGGGGTTGTGCAGGGTATAGACTACAGTGTTGATGCCATACACTGATACTGGATCAGCAAAGCTAGGAGGGTGGAATGGTATAGTAAAAAAATTTTCTAAATGGTGACATGCGTTTATACTAATTCATCCCCAGTGTATTGCCTGAAACCCTTTATATATTTGTGAGAGATTTCATGAGTTTCTCATAACAAAATGGAATATGCTGTTGAATTCAATTTAAAATTATAGAACTGAAGGTATCTTCACTTTAATGCCTTGTATTCCAAAATGGTATGGTATACATAGATATCATTTAATAAACTTTGAAAGAGCTGTTATTTTCTTTCAAAAAAACGTGTCCTTGATATATAATAAAATTACAATGACGAATCTAGTGTTCATTTTGAAGTATGTATATTTAATTTCCCTAGTCCAATAGATTAGTCAGATAGATAATCAAGGCTCACTCAGAAACACAAACATATTTAAACATATGGGGTTAATTCATTATTAATAGACAGATTCACCGGTTTTGGGGGTTTAAATGTTTGAATAGCCTTGGCTGTGCTCTGTGCTCTTCCACGCAGAACACATTTAGCTCATTTACCTGAGAAGTCTTGCCAAGTTTAGAGATTGCAAACAGGCCTAATTTTAATCAAAAGTAGAGATGTTACAGCCCTTTTTCAGTATGCCAGTTCTTTTTACTTTTTGATTTAATTGCTTGGTATTAACTATTAAAGGTTCTCTATAAGATGTAATTATAAGAACTTTTGAAATGTGATTATACCATGTGTGAGAACAAGTAGGGAGTGGTGGGAGCTTTTTGGGTGATGATTCAGCTTTGGATTGGGTAGCCATAGGAGTGTCATCATGGAAGAAATTAAACAGATAAGAGCACTGTTTCATTAAATGTGAACATGAAACTTCTAAGACAGTGGTTCTCAACCTTCCTAATGCCGTGACCCTTTAATACAGTTCCTCATGTTGTGGTGACCCCAAACCATAAACTTATTTTTGTTGCTACTTCATAACTGTAGTTTTACTACTGTTTTGAATCATCATCAGAAATGTGTTTTTTGATGGTCTTAGGTGACCCCTGTGAAAGGGTCGTTCAACCCCCAAAAGGGGTCGTGACCCACAGGTTTAGAACCGCTGTTCTAAGGCAACATGTATTAGGTTAGATTCTGTATGGCATTTCAATGAAGTCTATTTTATATGTATTAAGACATTATTATTAACAAAGTTTTTTTGTTTGTTTGGTTTTGTATTTTTGGATGTAGGAGAATTCATCTGGATATAAAGACTTAACTGGGAGTTTTGTAACAATTTTGAAGCAAGTAGTTGGAGGAAAGCTCCCAGTAGATTTCAATTACCACAGCGTCCCAGCACCGTGGTTACAAATTCAGCTCTTGAGAATACTAGGACTTCTAGGAAAAGATGATCAAAGGTAAACTAAGTAAAAAAAAAATTTTTTAACTTATCTTTATTTTTGAATGTATTACAGATGTTCCTCATTTTTCCCCCATTAACCCCCTCTTTCCCATTCCTGCCCCCCTCCTGCCTTTCCCCACACTGTTGTCTGTGTCCATTGGTTATGCATATACGCATATAAGTTCTTTGGTTTATTTCTTCCCACCCCCCAACCCCCCTTCCCTTTGAGGTTTGTCAGTTTAACAACCAATTTGTACTTCTTAATCCCTTCGCCTTTTTCACCCATTCCCCCAACCCCTCTCCCATCTGGCAACCAACAAAATTTCTCTGTGTCTATGAGAATGTTTCTGTTCTGCTTGTTCATTTTGTCTGTAGATCCAATTGTCACTAGACATGTATTCATTGCCATTTTGTTTGTTCATATTTTTTATCTTTTTTTTCAAGAAGACCCTTCAAGCCCTGGCTGGTTTGGCTCAGCGGTTGGAGCGTGGGGCTGTGGACCAGAGAGTCTCGGGTTGGGTTACCGCTAGGGGCGCGTACCAAAAAAAAAAAAAAGGGGGAGACCCTTCAACATTTCATATAATAATGATTTGGTGGTGATGAACTCCTTTAGCTTTTCCTTGTCTGGGAAACTCTTTATATGGCCACCGATTCTAAATGACAGCTTTGCAGAATAAAGTAATCTTGGTTGTAGGTTCTTACTTTTTATCACCCTGAATATTTCTTGCCACTCCCTTCTGGCCTGCAAAGTTTCTTTTGAGAAATCAGCTGACAGTCTTATGGGAACTCCCTTGTAGGTAACTAACTGCTTTTCTCTTGCTGCTTTTAAGATTTCTCTCTTTGTCTTGAAACTTTTGCATTAAAAAAAATTTTTTTTATCCTCACCGGAGGACATTTTTTGATATTTTGTTCAGATAGAGTTGGGGTGGGGGTGGGGAGAAAAACATTGATGTGAAGGGGACACATTGAGTGGTTACCACCCACACAACCCAACCAGGGCCAGGGACAAACTGCAACCGAGGTACATGCCCTTAGCGGGAACCGAACCCGGGTCTCTCTGGACCGTAGGCCAACGCTCTAACCGCTGAGCCAAACTGGCCAGGGCACCTTTTGCATTTGATGATGATGTGTCTTGGTATGGACCTGTTGGGGTTCATCTTGTTTGGGACCCTCTGTGCTTCCTGGACTTGTATGTCTGTCTGTTTCCTTCACCAAGTTAGGGAAGTTTTCTGCCATTATTGTTTCAAATACGTTTTTGATTTCTTGTTCTCTCTCTTCTCCTTCTGGCACCCCCATGATGCGAATGTTGGCACACTTAAAATTGTCCCAGAGGCTCCTTACATTATCCTCAATTTTTTCGGATTCTTATTTCTTTTTGCTGTTCTGATTGGGTGTTTTTTGCTTCTTTTTTTTTTAATCCTCACCCGAGGACATTTTCCCATTTTTTTGTTTAGGTAGAGTGGGAGGGGGAGAGGGGAACAGAGAGAGGGAGAGAAACATCGATGTGAAAGGAACATATCGAGTGGCTGCCACCCGCACGACCGACCAGGGCCGGGGACAAACTGCAACTGAGGTACATGCCCTTAGCGGGAACCGAACCCAGGTCTCTCAGGACCACAGGCCGATGCTCTAACCGCTGAGCCAAACTGGCCAGGGCTGCTTCTTTATATTCCAAATCGATGGTTTGCTTCTTGGCTTTACCTATTCTACTATTGAATCTCTGTACATTATTTTTTATTTCAGTTAATGCTTCCTTCATTTCTCGCTGGTCCTTTTTTATGCTCTTGAGGCCCTCACTAAGTTCACTGAGGTTCTCACTAAGTCCATTGAGCATCCTTATAAGCAGTGTTTTGAACTCAGCATCTGTTAGGTTGCTTATCTCCATTCCACCTAGTTCTTTTCCTGGAGTTTTATTCTGTTCGTTCATTTGGGACTGTTTCTTTGTCTCCTCATTTTGACTGCCTCCCTGTGTTTGTTTCTATGTATTAATGAGAGGTATGGGGCTAGCAGAGACCAGATGCTGCTTGTTTGAAAGAATTTAGGAAAACCTGAAGCAGGATCCAAGACAGGCCAATTATATGGTAAAGCAACTGGCAACAGCTTGGGTGGGCCTGAAAGTTGGGTGAGGTGGGGCGGGGCCTCAGAGAAGCACCAGGGCAGGGCAAGCAGTGTGAGCCAGGTTGCTGGAGTCCCAGATATGGTGGCTGTCTGCCGCCCCAGGGATGGGCTCACCAGAGGAACAAAGGCCTCTGACAGCTCGTCTGTCCTGGAGAAAGCTGCCTCTCCAGCCCTCACTCCAGTGCCAAATCGCTCAGTTCTTACCCATATGACTGGTGCCTTTCAAGCTGCTTTCCCCATGCTGGAGCCTGGAGGGTGTGAGTCTGAGTAAGTCCGTGCGGTGGTCCTTTAAGTGGAGCTGCCTGGGGCTCCAGCCGCCTCAGCCTCCCTCACCTTCAGTTCCCACTGGTTTTTCCAGCCAGAAGTTATGGGGACTTCTTTTCCTGGCACTGGAACCCTAAACTGAGAGCCTGGTGTGAGACAGAGACCCCTCAGTCCTCAGGGAGGACCTTCCCAGTGGAGATATTCACCTGATTTTTATCCCCCACACATGGGTGTGGGATCAGCCTGTGGATCCTCCGTCCCTCCTACCAGTCCTGATGTGGCTTCTTTAATTTCGTAGTTGTAGGACTTCCATTCAGCTTGATTTCAGGTGGTTTTGAATGATGGTGGTTCTGTAGTTTAGTTGTAACTTTGATGTGGTTGTAGGAGGACATGATACCACGTTTATCTACGCCTCCATCTTGCTAAACTAAGTAAATTTTATAGCCTTAGGCTGTAGTCACCTGGAGGGTTCAAGATAAGCAAGATTTCCCTAATGCTTACTTAGAGATAAGTAAACCACTTTATTAGAAGTATATAGATTCAGGTTGCTGGGATAATCCTGGCTCTCTGCTTATCTAAATCCTACTCTTAATGAAAGGTACCTCTGAAGCTTTATATCTTCTGCAAAGCTTTCTTAGTCATTCTAGTTTAGGGGTTGGGAAACTTTTTCTGTCAGGGACCAAATAATAAATACTTAGGTTTTGTGAGCTATATGTTGTCTGTTGCAACCATTCAACTCTGCTGTTGTATAGCTCAAAAACAGTCATACACAATACATAAATGAGCACAGCTAATAAAAAAAAACCTATTTATGGACATTGAAACTTGAATTTCATACATTTTATGTGTCATGTTATTTTGATATTTTCCCGCAATCATTTAAAAATGTAAAAATCATTCTTAGAAGCAACTATATAAAAATAGACAACTGGCCAGATGAGGCCTCCAGACTATAGCTTGCTGACTCTTGCTCTTGTTGGATGTGAGCACTTCACCTTCTTAATTCATTTGTCTAAATTATTTTTTAGCCAATAATTTATGTTTTATGGGTATTTTCCCAAATATATATATAGTCATTTTTTATTTTGCCGTAGTTTTTCAAACTTACAGAAAAGTTCCAAGAATAGTACAAGGAGCTCTTTTATGCCCTTTACTTAGATTCATTTGCTCCTTCTTTCTCTCTCTATGTGCATGTGTGCACACATTATACTTATTTTTAATATTTTTCTGAACGTTTGAGAGCAAATCCAACTAGATTTTAGTTCCCTTGAGAACAAGGACCATGGCTTGAGTCCCTGAAGTATTTCTGGCTTGAGGAAATAATTGCTAATCAGTGACTTTATGAGATATGGTTCTCTTTTATGCAGCAGGATTCATTTATATTCTGATTCTTACTCTATCTACCTTTATGAAGTGATTGCTCTCTAGGCTGTTGCTTCTAGTAATGTCTTGTCAGCATCCATTTGCCCGTGAACTCCTGATAAGTGCTAACTGGGCTGTATCACTCTTGGTATTGCTGTCTTACTTTTTTCTGTGTTTATGAATCTCAACCCTGATTGAAACTTAGAGTGAAAATCTGGATGTGATAGAGAAGACACACACATTAGAATTGTTTGTCCTAATTATATTTTATTTTTTGTAACTTAACCTATCTTATTGTGGGGCTCTGGTTGGAGTTCACTGGAATTCTCTTTCAAAACCACAAATTTCATAGTAATGCATCCAGACCTTACTGGTCTAAAAAGATTTACTGCCATCATATGTTGTCAGGAAGGAACTTTGTGGTTTTTAGTAAATTAACTGAATGTATTAAGTCATTATCTTCTTTTTTTCTTTCATGGATGCATTTGGGGAATACATACAGTGATGATTGAGAGCGCCTACCTTCAAAGTGCTCATTTGAATAGAAATTAGACACAATTAAAGTGAATAAAAATTGGAACTTTTATAATGTGGAACATTAAAATGTTTTCTCCTTTGTTGTCCCAACTCTAATGAGGTTTTTATGTTAACACAAATCTTATATTTAAGACGTGATTAACTCATATGGTAAAGGAAAAAAATGTTATTTTGTAAAATAATATTCTAATGTATTTAGTGTCTGCTATGACAAAGTAATCGCTTGAGCTAAGGCCAACTCGATTCTAATGTATTTAATTGAAAGAATTAATTTACTAGAAGTCTTATATTGTTGGACTTTTATATCTGTTGTTTGAGTATTTTCTTGTGTTTTGTAGCATTTTCCTTCTTAGGTTATTTATATTTAGCTTGATCATGTCTGCAAATGTTTGTACATTTCATGTGGTTAATTATGACTTATGCCAGACATTGACTTTAAAAATTAAGAGACTAGACTGTAATCTAGGTAGAGTATTACTAAATTTTGTGGGGGAGGATTTATAATATCTACTGTATGGTTATTATCAGTGGAAGAAATGCTTACATAATAAAATGAAGAAATTTAGAATAAAGTAATGGATATTTATACTTTGGTCAAGACAGAATAAAAGTACATTCACTTCAGATTGAATTTTATAGCTGTGTATTTGGAGAAAAAAATTTTGATAAAGATATACATACATGTTACGTAATTTGTATAGCCCCAGATTATTTTGATGTTTTTGCTTGTTTGCGTAATAGTGTACTTTCTCTGCTAGACTACTGTGTGTATTCTATGTCGAGGTAGTTTTTATTTCTGTTGGTGATTTTTGAATTTGTAAAACATGTAAAAATACTAGCTGAGAAGCCATAGTTTTCACACTGGCATCTTGGAGAGGAGTTTTCCAGGCAGGAAGACTAGGGCTAAGTTCTGTAAAACACTGCATTTTCTTACAGTATCTACCTCAGTCCAGTATTATAATGGTAATCAGTGATCATGAAGACACAGGGATGGAACAACTTTGTTAATTTTATTTATATTTAACATAAATGAAAGCTAAAGTTTTCTTTCTGAAGAACTCAATGCTGCTCAAAGAAAGACTAGTATTTGAATACTTTAAAAAAATTATATGGTTTAAATACAGATATTGTTCTGTCTGGAATAATCTGGATATGTGAAGAATTATAGTAACTTGAAACAGGTAGAATATTTTATTATAAAGAAAAATTTTAAAAGATAGTGTGTTCAATCAAACAGAAGCCTGATTTGTAAACTAGGTACAGGTTGAGGAAAGAATCGATTGACTTCTGTTTATCTTCAATGACTAGTCAGCTTTGATAAAACAGGAGTTAAACTCATGAAAAAGAGGAAATGGAATCTTTAAAAAGTGAAATTTATAACTTCATAAAATGAATTTTTTTTTCACTTCTTTTCTGTAGATCCTCAGTTTTAAAGAGAGAGAAGTTTGAAAAACTATGTTTTATTGGGTTGTAATACTATAATTCTACTGCAAATAAAATATCTTTTAAACAGGACAAGTGAATTAATGTATGATGTTCTTGATGAATCCTTACGAAGAGCCGAGTTAAATCACAATGTCACATATGGTAGGTAACATATGTAAATGCTACTCTAATGACTAACAGTGTTTTTCAGTATTATAGCTGAATTTGTTTTAGAATACTGCAAAATCCAGTAGAATTTTTTTTTTTAAATCCTCACCTGAGGACATTTTTGCATTTATCTTCAGATAGAGCGGGAGGGAGAGGGGGGGAAGAGAGAGAGAGAAACATCAATGAGACACATCGACTAGTTGCCACCCACATGACTCCAATTGTGGCGGGGACAAAGTGCAACCGAGATACATGCTCCTAGTGGGAACCAAACCTGGAACTCTCTGGTCCGCAGGCTGACGCTCTAACCACCGAGCCAAATTGGCCAGGGCAAAATCCAGTAGAATTTTATATGCCAATTCTTAAGGTGATTCTTTGGGTTATTTTCAATGAAAGCATTGAATAACTAGTAGAAATAATTTGAAATTATGGCATTATTTTACATGTTGACCTACATTTATTTTTATATTTGTCTCTTTTTTAAGACTTTATGTTTTAAGAGAAATTATCTCTTGATTGAAAATATTCATCAGCTTAGTAAACCTGTTCCACATTAAATTTTTTAATTTTTTATATTGGGGAGCGAGGGAGGGGAGGAGGGAGAAGGAGGCGGAGGAGAGTGAGAGCCGCAATTTCAATCTATTCCACATTTAATAAGACAGTTCTTAAATGCATCAATTAGTCAACTAGTTGTCAAATATTTCTTAGATTTCTGTCATTTGTCAGGCCCTGTATAAGATACTTGGAATACAGCTGTGAATAAAACGGTGTTACCATTGAGCCCACAGACCAGAGAGATGGAAAGGGCCAGGCGCTGTAAATGCTATAAAGGAGAATTGCAGGTGCTGTGGGAGAGTATAGCAGCTAGTCTTAGGTGTGAGGCAGAACAAGGAAGGTTTTTATGAAAAGTGATTATTTAAGAGCACAACTGAAGGGTGAGTAGGATATAGATAGGGATATATATATATATGTGTGTGTAATACACTATTTTGTGAAGAGACTAGTTCTTTATATATAATTTTATGTAATTTGAAAAAGTAATTTAGTGATAGGAGACAAGTTTGGGGGGAGGAGGGTGGAGAACTCAGAAAAATAACCAAAAAAAACTTCCAATCTTAATAGCCAGAGGGAGGAACTATTAGTTCTTTATTGATCGGTCTGAGAAAGCTCAGTGAAGAAATAGGGATATTTAAAAGATAGAAGTAAAATAGTTTGAATTTTGCATGCCCTGGAGAAGAGTAGAAGAGACATGGAGAGATATAATTCAAATGAGTCATTTCTTAATCTGATGAAGTACCGTGAAGCAGGGGGTGAAGAGCATCACTGGTTCTTTCAGACAGTGGTCAGCTGTGGATCTTTAGGAACAATGGCTGTAGAAGTGTACGGTAGAGGGCAGAAATTGAACTAGTTCAGTTGAAATAAAAGTGCTTGACAAAGATGCAGTAGGAATAAGGAGAAAGGATTGCATGCATAAGACTCATACAGAAAAAAATAATGCAAATGGTAGTGAATTGGGATAGTAAATTTAAAAAGATTTATGTTTTGCATGTATGAATAGTAATTAAAGGCAGTAAGAGTGGTTTATTCATTTGTTCAATCAGTATTTATTGACTGCCTACAAAACAAAATCTTGATTTGTAAACTAGGTATAGATTGAGGAGAGAGTTGATTGACTTACTTCATGCTAGGTGTGGGAGAGTAAAGGAAGAATAAGGTAGACACAGCCACTACCCTTATGAGTGTATAGTATAATGAAGAGTTGATATTATCAAGGATCCTGTTGTGTAACGAGAAGAGTGAGGGGCCAGAGACAAGGATGACCCTTGTTGAGGCAGGTGGTTTGGCTAGGAGCTGTCAGGAGATCCAGAGAAGTGTCGGAGTGTTTGCAGGCACCTAAAGTAAGTTGTTTTGCTTGAGACAGTCAGTGTCTAGGGTGAAAGTTTGAAAGGCTCTGGAGGAATTCTGCTTAAAATCAGTTAAGAATCATCTGTTTTTCTTTCAGAAAGCTTTTTTTTTTTTTTTTTGTAATTGCATTTCAGCTTTAATTTTTTTATTTTTTTGAATAGGTAATATATGCACATGGTTCAAAATTCAAAAGGTACAAAAAGGTATACAGTGAACAGTAAGTGTCCCTTTGATCCTTATCACCTACCACTCAGCTGCCCTTTCTGGAGATAACCACTGTTACCTGTTCCTTTTGATTTGGAGAATACTGTATACCTGATGGAATAGTTTTTAATGTTTTCCGCTAGGACACCCTTCTCTTACTAAGATGCTGGAACCAGCCGGCACCAACAGTTTGTAGGCTGTCAGTCCAGTGTTTCACCCTTCACAGAAACCTTACAGTTTCTATTGGTTCATTTATTTCCTTTATTCATCTTTCCATCATTATGCTTTTAATCCCATATTTGTATTGATATAGTTTATAGCTAACATTGATTTTTATCAATAGTAGCGTATTCTCTGGTAATCCTAATATAAATATTTTATTGCTTAAGAATATGAATTTTAAATTATAAACTTCATAAGGGAAGGGACTGTGTCTCTCTTATTTGCCAGCATATCCCAGAGTCTGGCACTGGGTTAATCAATGGATAATATGTTTTAATTGAATGGAAGGAAAAGAAAGTTATTTTATTTTTATCAGTTATCTACCTGATTGAGTTACAGTCTTAATACTTTCCAAACCATATTTTTATGAAATTTCATTATTATAACTTACCTTAGTGTCAAGGAATAAATCACATGAAAGACATTTATTGAGTATCTGCTATGTGCCAGGCATTGTATAAAGTGATGTAAAGGATATGAAGAAGTATAAAATCTAATTTTTGCCTTTAAGGAATTTATAATATAATGGAAGAGATAACTTATTTATGAAAGCATAATACCTGTGAAAGGCAGGATGCAAATGGGTGGGTACAGGGAGTCAGTATTACAGGAGTTCAGAGGTGGTAGAGATCACAGTGATTTATTGATGTAATAGGACCCTGAAAGGTAGGTAGGATTTAGATAGCCAGAAGGGAGGTCGAAGGGAGTTCTAGGAAGAGGGAACATGAGAAGAGGTACAGAAATGAAGATATTTAAAACACTGTCAGAGAACATTGACTCACTAGTCTGAATGGACAATTTATAATGGGAACAGTAGAAAGGTCATGTTCTGGAGGTCTTTCCATGGCAGCCAAATGAGTTTGGATTTCATATTGTGTAAATCTGGAGGTATGGAAGATTTTTGGGCGGGGTACTGATAAGATCAGAATGACATTTTTAGTATACTAGTAAAAATTGGGAGAATTATATAAAATGGAGTACAAAGGACAGAATCATCAGAAGTAGATAGAAGTACCTTTTTCTGCTTTTCTTTAATTTTTTTTTTCTTTATTGATTTTTAGAGAGGAAGGGAGAGGGAGAGAGAGACAGAAACATTGATGAGCGAGAACATCAATTGGCTGCCTTCTGCATGCCCCCCACTATGGATTTGGCCCACAACCTGGGCATGTGCTCTGACCGGGAATCGAACTGGCGACCTCTTGGTGCATGGGTTGACACTCAACCACTGAGCCACATGGGCTGGGCTGTTTTTTTTTTTAAATCCTCACCTGAGGATAATTTTTTCATTTATCTTCAGATAGGTGTGAGGGAGGGAGGGAGAGAGAGAGAGAGAGAAAGAGAAAAAGAGAAACATTGATGTGAGAGAGACACATCGATAAGTTGCCTCCTGCATGACCCCGACCAGGGCAGGAGATCGAACTGAAACCAAGGTACACGCCCTTGACTGGAATTGAACCCACGACTCCTTGGTCCACTGCAGGCCGACGCTCTAACCACTGAGAAAAACTTGCCAGGATGCTTTCCCTGTTTTTCACACTAAGTATACCTAAAAACCCTGGATATTATATGTAAAATAAACATAAGACTGAAAGGTGGAGAAATGAAGGTAGACAAGTTATGGACCTTGGGACAAAAGAAATGACACCATGAGGAATACTGGGTTTTCTTTTTGTCTCCCATACCCCAGACTGGAGAGTCAGCAACCTGGAAATGTCAACAGGTACAGACAAAACAACCCAAGAAGAACAGGCAAAGCAGCAAGATAGAAAACCTTTAGAGACTAGCCCCTTCGTTCCAGCTAAGCACCACACAGAGAAGAACTGTAGGTCATCCACAGCAGCAAAGGCTTAGTGGAGAGCTGAGATTTCTATCCTCACCAGGTGTAAGGAGGTGCCCCAACCCTCCCAGTGGGCTGGTGGCAGAGAAGCCCAGGAGGGGAGCAGGAATTTTATCTTTGTCATGTGTTAATGGGGGCACCCCCCTTGCATTGTTAATGGAGATGATGTGGGAAGCCTGGATTTCACATTATCCTGGAGTAGGGAATAACAGGGTACCCCTCCCCTCTTTGCTGGGTTGGTGTTAGAGGAAGTGGGAGGCAGAGCTTTCATTGCTGGTGTTGCTGGGCAGGGATACTAAGGCAACCCCGCAACATAGGGAGCAGTAATGAAGTACCCCTCTTTCTCCCAGGCAGGGTGGGATAGCAGATACTCGCATCTCCCACCCAGAAGGAACCAGGATTCCCTCCTGTTCAGTGTCAAAAGAAGCAGAGTAGATAATTGGTCTCCATTGAGTAGTACCCCCACCTCCCTGCCAGAGTGGTGTCAGTAGATAGTGATATAAGTTATTTAAAATGAAAGTAAAGTCATCTGAAGGATAAAGTATCAGTAGAACTTCTTCAAATTTTGTGCACTTTCCAACCCAAAATATCTGTGATAAATGCAGTCACAGATGCTAAAGTGTTATTTTTTTTTTTATCCTCACCCGATGACATTTTTCCATTTTTTGTTCAGATTGAGTAGGAGGGAGAGAGAGGGAGAGAGAGAAAGAGAGAGAGAGAAACATCGACATGAAAGGGACACATGGAGTGGTTGCCACCCGCACGACCCAACCAGGGACGGGGACAAACTGCACCCGAGGTACGTGCCCTTAGCAGGAACTGAACCCAGTCTCTCTGGACCACAGGCCAACGCTCTAACCGCTGAGCCAAGCTGGCCAGGGCAGAGTGTTATTAATTATTTTTTTTAATCCTCACCTGAGGACATTTTCCCATTTTTTTGTTCAGACAGAGTGGGAGGGAGAGAGAGATAGAGAAACATTGATGTGAAAGGGACACATCGAGTGGCTGCCTCCCGTACGACCCAACCAGGGCCGGGGGCAAACTGCAACTGAGGCATGTGCCCTTAGTGGGAACCGAATCCTGGCCTCTCTGGACCGCAGGCTGATGTTCTAACCGCTGAGCCAAACCAGCCAGGGCCAGAGTGTTATTAATTTTTAAGTTGCTAATTTTTATTTGATGGTATTTTGGTTAGGATCTGGGTTACTTCAGAAGAGTAAATAAAGCTCCACATTATATTTTATATTTGGATATTCTCAGAAGCACTTTTCTTTTAACCATTGTAGAGAAGATAGAATGCCTGCTTTTTCATGTATGGATTAAATATTCAGATTTTGTGGAGTTGGAGAATAAAGGGACTTAGTTCTAGATGGGAAGATAATTTAAGAACTTATTAAATTCATTTTCAGCTTATTTACACCTAAGTTGACTAGCAAATGTAGTGTTTTTTTTTCCATCCTCACCTGAGGATATTTTTGTATTTATGTTCAGATAGAGTGGGAGGGAGGGAGAGAGAAGGAAAGAGAAAGAAACATCAACGTGAGAGGGACACATGGACTGGTTGCCTCCCGCATGACCCTGTCCAGGGCCGGGGATGAATCGCAGCTGAGGTACATACCCTTGACCAGAATTGAACCCGCAACTCTGGTCTGTGGGCCAACACTCTAACTGCTGAGCAAAACTGGCCAGGGCACACATGCAGTTTTTGAATTATTAATTTTATACTAGTTTTCTAGAAATCTTATGAGCATTTATATATATATATACATGTATATATATGTATAAACTTAGATTTTAGATGACTATTGAGACGTTTTTGTAGCACAGGAGAGTTCTGAATGGCAGGAATCCATAAAGGAAAATATGTCACTTATGATAGAAAATGGACCATCATTTTTTATCTTGCTTAGGACTGTCACATTTATTAGTTCAGAGTTTGGCAGACTTTCTAAAAAGGGGGCCAAATAGTAAATATTTTAGTCTTTATAAGTCACATAAGTTTCTTTCACACATTTTCCTTTGTGGTTTTGTTTGTTTTTTACAGCCTTTGAAAAATGTGATTATACACCTGAAAGTAGTATGTTATATGTCAATTATATCTCAATTAAAAAATGTAAAAACCACTCTTAGTTCACAGGCTTGCAAAAATAGGCTGAGGGCTGGATTTAGTGGTGGTTTGTCCAATCCTGCCTTGGTTAATTAGTTAAGACTCTCTTTGTTTAGTTCCAAGTTGTAAAGTCAACTATGTTCATAGTACAGAGTAAAGACATTTTATAGCACAACATCTGAATATACAAAATATCTTTACTTTGTAGATTTTTCTTTAAAGTCAGTTCCTTTTTTTTCTGTTTTGTATCCTCACTTGAGGATATGCTTATTGATTTTAGAAAGAAGAAGGGAGAGAGAGAGACAGACAGACAGGCAAACATCGGTGGGAGAAACATCGATTGGTTACCTCCCATTATGCATCCTGACCTGGGATTGAACCTGCAACCTAGGTATGTGCCCTGACTAGGAATTGCACCTGCAGTCTTTGGTGTACTGGACTACTCTCCAACTGGTTGAGCCACCCAGCCAGGGCAAGTCAGTTCCCTTCTTAATAAGAACTTTATATTTCTGATTTCTTTTCTTCTTCTATAGAAATGTTTATATAAAGTTTTTTCTTACACAGTATTTTTTGTGCCTCAATTGATAGACAACTTAGTGTAAAATATAGCTAGTTCAATATTCAGAATCTATTTTGTACATAAATAAGTGTCTGATTGTCATGTTTTAAGTTTTTGGAAATAGAGGAGGAGTGATTTTGTCAAGGACATTAATATGCTTCAACTTGTACTAGAACTGTTTGTAAGTCTGCCGATTCTGTCTCACTTCACATGCTGTGATTGCATAGGACATGCAGGACTTAATGGTGCCTCAGTGATTTCTTCTTTACCATTGCAAAGCTGCAGCTCCTTGACTAATGCTCTTTAAAAGAGTTTTTGTGTCCACTTTGGTCATCTGTCATAGTTATCAGATCTTTGACTATAAGAGAAAATCATATTGAGCACTGTCAAGGTAGGTGTTCAATAGATTGTTTTATATTCTTCAAGGTTAATTTTAAAGAAGTGATGTGCAGATTTTTGAGCAGTGGCTCTACTTTGATATAAATGCTAGGGCATCCCAAAATGACATTGAAATAAACCACATAGAGTTTTTGTATACAAGTGGTAGAAACTGCCTGAAAAGAAATTATTTTAAATAAATAATTTTAAACCATTCAAATACAAATATCTACTTATATAGGGATGATAAATATATTACCTGTGTGTCCATTGGAGTTTGAGCTCCTTGAGGGCAGGGTTTTTCTGTTTTGTTCACTGCTGTATCCATACTACTAGAACAATGCCTGGCACTTGGGAGGTGTTCAGTAAATAGTTGTTGCATGATTGACTGTATCATTTTTATCTATTACTGTACATAATTGTCTTTAAATTATACTGTGGTAACATAAGCCTAATAACTGTATAAGTCTGAAAACAGTAAAGTGTATATTTTGAAATTTTTCTGTAAAAGGAGTTTTGACTCAAACTGACTTTCCAGTTAGTTTTATTATGAGTTCCACATAAATGTTATTTTAGTATGCCTTAACATGAGCCCTGACATTTTTATATTTTCTTTCTCTAGCTATTCTGTTTGAATGTGTACATACAGTCTATTCTATTTATCCCAAATCAGAATTACTTGAGAAGGCTGCCAAGTGCATTGGAAAATTTGTCCTATCACCTAAAATAAATCTCAAATATTTAGGTAAGATGATTGATTCTTTTGATAGAAATTACAAAGAGAGCTTTTGAAATTTGCTGGGTATTTGTTTCAAGTCACTTTGTATAATGTGATCTTTGATTTTAGGACTGAAGGCTCTTACCTATGTTATCCAACAGGATCCCACTCTGGCTCTTCAACACCAGATGACAATAATTGAGTGCTTAGACCATCCTGATCCCATTATTAAAAGAGAGGTAACTGGTATTTTGAATTGTGTATGTGAAAGTGTTACAATTTTTAAACTTTTTGTTGCTATTATGGAGAGATTAGAGTGGTAGGCAGTATGTACGAGTGTTTGGTTCTTGGGTATGGAGTGACCTGTTGCTTGGGACTGGGATTTCCTTTTACCTGGTTTTATTACCTTTCTTTCATACAAGGAGAAAGAAGGCAAGGAGGAGCTAACAGAAGACTTCTACTGATCTACTTCCTAATACCATACCCCATTCAGTCCTGGAAATGCTATATTTCATGACTTTAGAGTAGGAAATAAATTTGGTGTAGATTATCTTAAAGTATATAACATACAGTTTAGGGTATACAGGAAGCTTTTCTGAAGCAGCTTCTTAAATTGAAAGCTATAGATGGGGGACCTATATATATATAGATTTTAAATAGAGTTAAGTATGAACTGAAACAGCTTTTTAAAAAATCTTTCAAAATCTATTATAACTTTGTACTTGAAGTGCTGGCTGAAAGGACTGAAAAATTAGAGCCCTAAAGATATTTTGAACAAGTTTGACAAGTAGGATTTGTGGAAATCCTCTTGTTGCTAATACTGTTGATCTTAAAACACCAGTAAATGATATTTTATATTTTCTTAGTATGGCCCTTGGTCTCATATTAATTTCTAGCAGCTGTGATGTTTTTAGAAACCTAATTAGGGCCTTAGAAAGCCAGCCAAATGGGAGCTTACTCTGGTACTGGTTTTCCTTCATCTTACTCAAGGCAGCAGGAGCTATGTTCCTCAGCACTGAGAAAGAAGCTATAAAACAGTTCTTTGATACCTGAGATTCTTGCTATGCTTTGAAGTGCTTGAACCACTAACCTTTGTCCATTCATTAGGGGCCTTTTCCCCTTAGCTGACAAACCCACTCATGTGCTGTTTTCTGTTGTTTGGATGGTGTGGAAAATATAGTTTGCGAGACTGGATTTTTATGTGTCTATGTATATGGGTACACACACACACACACATTCAGACAGGCATTAAGTAAGGTAGGTTTAAGAAGCTGTTACATTTTTAGAAAATAGATTATAAAAGTTTTAGCTTTTTTTTGGTTAATCCTCACCATTTTTTTTCCCCATTGATTTTTAGAGAGGGTGGAAGGATTGGAGGGAGGGAGAGGGAGAGAAAGAGGAGGGGGGAGATGGAGAGAGGGAAATATTGATGTGAGAGAGAGACATATTGATTGGCCGCCTCCTGCATGCCCTACACTGGGGATCAGCCCCACAACCTGGGCATGTACCCTGACTGGGAATCAAACTGGTGACCTCTTGGTACATGGGTTGATGCTTAACCACTGAGCCACACCGGTTGGGCATCATAATTCATTTTTTAAACAATAGTTTTATCTTTCTTAAGTTCTATTTATTTCTAATAGTTACCTTTTTTAACTTCTGAGCATTTCTTGAGCACCTATTAACTGGCCTGCTCTCATAGGAGATATATGTAGATGTGGAAGAATCAACCATATTATTAGCATGTATGTTACTGTATTTATTGGGTTGTCGTGCACAGTTTTATAATACTACTTTTATTTCTTTTTCTTAAATAGACTCTGGAACTTCTTTACAGAATTACTAATGCACAGAATGTAACAGTGATTGTCCAGAAGATGCTTGACTATTTACATCAGAGCAAAGAAGAGTATATTATCATCAATTTGGTTGGCAAAATAGCTGAGCTCGCTGAGAAATATCCTTTGTTTGAACTATAATCATAAGATACCTTTAGTTAACACAGTGATTTTAAAATGATTGATATATAGACATGCTCCCTTGCAAGTTGAGTTCAGAGGCCTAGCAATAACTTTCATTCCTGACAGTCAGGCCTCTTTTGTTGTCAAAAACAGGAATTTGTGTAGACTTCTGAGGGGATCGCGTTTTTCCTGGCTGTTTTCATTCAGTAGGTCAGTATTGTGAGCAAGAAGACACAGGAACCTCTGTCTGATTTCTCTGTCAGTCTCTTCTCGTCTTTGACTACTTTCTACACAGTCTCTTTTCTGAGTAAAAGTTCTTGTTGTTTTTTGGGAGGGGATCAGGATGCCAAACTTTGTCCTTGACACTACAGAGGTTGGCAAAAGTAGGTTTACATTGTATGGAAAATAATACAGTAATTAACTGTAGACCTACTTTTGCTCACCCCTGTATTGTTTGTATTAGAAATTGTCACGGTAAAGTAGTTGGGAACTCCATTCACCTGTTACTTTTCTTCACATTAGTTCTTTAAAAGTCAGAGTCGCTTCTACAGGTCACAAGGATATTCCCTTCTCTTTAAGATGACTGTCGTTCAAGCTAAGGAAGACTGAATGAATAATGTTAATCAAATTATCTTGGAAATTGCTATAGCTCTGTCCAGTAGAATGATAAAATATTAGAACTGAAAAGATACAGCTTAGAAAGGAGGTTAAACAACTTGTTCGAGTAGAAATGGCACAGCTTTTAGTCTCTCTGAAATGTATATCATTTTTCATTGTTTATTTGTCCATCGTTCGCTGGAACATTTTTTTTTTCTTTTTTGATTTTAACTATTTTATTATGTCTTATTTCACTTAAAATCTTGGCTTTTTTGGTAGGGTTGTAGAACTTTTTTTTTGCAATTTTTATTAATTTATTTTTGTTAACAGATGTTTCTCCTTTTCCCTCCCTAGACACCCTCTTCCTGATCCGCCCCCTCCCCCTCGACACTGGAACATTTCTTTCAGTTATTTTACATGTATTTATTGGCTGCCTATTATGTTCAAGACAGAATTCTAGATAAAGCAACATGAACATAAAACTGGGATATAGAACAATTTATTGGCAGAGGTTAGAGGTAAAAATGCCAAACTAGGATGAATTGGGGGTTATTTTTAAAAGGTTGATGTAGAAAGAATAATTTTAATAAGTGGCATTTGGAAGTGTACTCTTTCTTAACACTGTGGACACATATGCTCCTGATAATGCGTGGTTTATTCAGACAATGAATGCTGTGTTTTCAGTAGGAGGAGATGTAATGCAGCCTGATATTCCCAATAACTTTCTGAGACTGCTAGCGGAGGGTTAGTAAACTGTTGCATTCTATAAAGAAAATATTTTAAAATTAAATGTTTTTATTACAGAGTCCTTAGAGAGTTTGATGAAAATTAAAATGATATATCAATTTTTTTGTAGGTTTTGATGATGAAACAGAAGATCAACAATTAAGACTTTATGCAGTTCAGTCTTATCTCACTTTACTAGATGTGGAAAATGTGTTCTATCCACAGAGATTTCTTCAAGTTATGAGTTGGGTGAGCAAAGTACATTCAGTTATAAATGTTTATAACATTATTTTTTTATAAACCAAATACTAACTATATTTCCATAAGAAATCATTCATTTCTACTCAGCTAACTCCTTCAGTTGTCAATTTTTCCCCCTAGTGACCACCTTCTATCACTTAACTATTTACTTGTCAATTAATTTTCCCTGCCATCTCACTTGTCTAGTCTTTAAACTTTCTTTTTAATCCTCACCCCTGGATATGTTTATTGATTTTTAGAGAGTGAGGAAGGGAGAGAGAAAGAAATGTCAGTGTGAGAGAGAAACATCGATTGCTTGCCAATGGGGGATAAAACTTACAACCTGGGTATGTGCCCTGACCGGGAATTGAACCCACAGCCTTTTGTATGGGATGATGCTCCAGCCAACTGAGCCACACTGACCAGGGCTCACTTGTCTAGTCTTTTAAATGTGGATATTTGTTTATGTCTGCCTGTTTACAATATATTTGTTGTATTTTCTTTGTGAATCTATATTTGAATGTGTGAACATTCATGTATCTGTGATATATTAGTTAACAATTGCTACATAATAATGTTATCACAAATTAATGCTTAAAATGATAAATTTATTATCTCATAGTTTCTGTGGATCAGAAGTATAGGCACATGGCTTAGCTGGGTGGGTTCTTTGCTTAGGGTCTCTTAAGAGTTACAGTCAAGGTGTTACCTGGGGCTGCTGTCTCATCTGAAGCTTGACTGGTGAAGGATCCACTTCCAAGTTCAGAAACGAGTTTCTTCAGCTGTAAAACTGAGGGTTTGGGTGCTACTGTTGTAGACTCCTAGAACAACCTTTAGTTTCTTGCCATGAGAGCTTCCCAACAAGGCTGTTTGCTTCATCTAAGCCAGTAAGGGAGATCATTTCTCTGTAAGATGAAAGTCACAATTTTATGAAATTTAATCATATATAATCATACATCCTATCATTTGTATATTCTTTCTTGTGCATATGGGTGAATGTTTCTTTATGGGTGAGATTTGGAGAAGTACGACTGCTGAGTCATAGGATATGCACATTTTAATGTTTTATTGTTTTGCCCAAACTTAGCATGTTAACTTAAATTTACCCAGACTTTTATCTAAGAATTTTAATTTTCTTATCTACAGGAAAGTTGAAAGGCTAGTATAACAAGTACCCATATACTTTTGTTCTAGATTCTCAGTTATCATTTTTAATCACCTTTGCTTTACTGTATGAACACCTATATCTATATCTAGGCCTACCTATATATAGTGTGTTTTGCTGAACCATTTAAAATTGAGTTGCTGACATCATGACACCTTACCCATAAAAAATTCAACATGAGCACTGACCAGTGTGGCTTGGTTAGGCGTCATCCCATGCACAAAAAGGTTGCTGGTTCGATTCCCGGTCAGGACACATGCTTGGTTTGCAAGCTTGGTTCCCAGTAGGGGACATGGAGGAGGCAGCCAATTGATATTCCTCGCTCTCCTTCTCCCTTCCTCTCTCTCTCAAACTCAATAAAAATATTAAAAAAAAATTGAACGTGAATCTCATAAGAATGACATTGTTCTAGATAATGATAAAACCATTATTATACCTAAGAAATGTAACATTAATTTATTAATCTCACCTAAGATATAGTTCATATTCAGATTTATTCAGTTGTCCAAAAAATGTCTCTTATGGCTTTTTTTCTAATCTCAATCCTAGATCCAGTCAGGTTTTACAAATTGTATTTAGTTATGTCTTTTTAGCCTTTAAAAAATTTTTATAATGAATGAGCCTCGGTTTCTTTTTGTTTTCATGACATTGATTTGTTTTTTTTGGATGAATATTGTTGACTTGTAGAACGTCCAACGTTTCTGAATTTGTCTGATTATTCAGTTAAACATTTTTAACAATACTTGTACATTGGCACTATTGTGTACTTACCACTACATCATGTCAGGATGCATGCATATAATTTCAGTTTTTCCAATTACTGGTGATTATAGGTTTCTTTGGTGAAGATGTTGCCCTGCAGATCTCTCCATTATAAAGGAGAACTTTCTCCTTAGTAATTTATAGCTAATCTGTGAGGTGATTCTTTGAAGCTGTGTGACCATCTTTTCCTCAACTCTCTTTCACCAGTGGTTTTAGCATTGATAATTCTTGCACTAAATTGGTTATTGTATTTGGTTGCCATTTGTTTTTATTCTCCATGAACGTGGCATATTCCATATATTTAGAGTGTTTTTCTTTTTTTCTACAGCATACAAATCCTATACATGTTTTGTTAGATTTATACTTAAGTAATTTATTTTCTTAAGAACATTAGTAAATATATTTTAAATTTTGGTTTCTGTATGTTTGTTGCTAGTACTGTATACAAATGTAATAGATTTTTGTATTTTGATCTTATACTGTGCAATCTTGCCGAACTCATGTAGAATTTTTTTTTGTAGATTTCTTGAAACTTTGTTAAGAATTTTTCCATCTCTGTTCAGGAAGGATATTGGTCTTAGTTTTCATATTTTTCTACTTTATTTGTTTGGTTTTGGTATCAAGGTAATACTGGCTTCATAAAATGTGTTCTTTCCTATTCTATTTTCTGGATTGTGTAGAAGAGATTTGTTTAGTTTTTAAGTGTTAGGAAACTTTTCTGTTACTGATTTCTAGTTTGATTCTATTGTTAGAGAAAACACTGTGTGATTTCATTTCCTTTTAAATTTATTGAGGTTTGCCCAGCTGGTGTGGCTCACTGGCTGAGCGTCGACCCATGCACCAAGAGGTTGCCAGTTTGATTCCTGGTCAGGGCACATGCCCAGGTTGTGAGCCCAATCTCCAGTGTGGGGCATGCAGGAGGCAGCCAGTCAGTGTTCTGTCTCATCGATGATGTTTCTCTCTCTCTCTCTCTCTCCCTCTCCCTTCCTCTTCTCTATAAAAATCAATAAAGAAAAGAAATATTGAAAAAAATTTTGTTGAGGTTTGTCTTATGGCCTATGATATGGTCTGTGTTGTGATATGTTCTGTGGGTGTTTGACTAAATTCTTTTGGAGATGACATTGAGATTGGTGTTAAGGTTAACCATGTGGCCTCCAGTGACAGTGTGAAGGGGTGGCCTTGTTATATTGCCCACCAGTGGTGAAAGTCCTGACTCTCTGTTGGCTTCTCCTGACGCCACCCCAGAAGAGAAGGGAAAGGGCACCCCTTTATACTTGGGTGGAGGTTAAGTTCAGGCTCCCTATGTGGTCTTCATGGATACTGCAGAGGAGTGGGCTTCTACAACTTGGTAGGGATGAAAGTCCCGGCCCCCCCACTCAGCCTTCTCTGTTCCCATCCTTGTGGGGGAGTTGTGGTTTGTCTTACAGCCCAGTAGGGATGGAAAGCTTGGCTCTCCACTCTGTCTTTGCTGTTATGGATAGGGCTTCAGTTTTTTCTATGTGGTGCTTGGCTGGATGGAGTCCAAGGATTATTGTTTTCCTGGCTAATTAATTGGCTGAAGGGCAGGCTTTTCCTGGAATTTTTTGTTTGAGCCCATTGGTGTTTCCAGGTTGATGGTGCTCCAGTACCCAGTCTGGGGTATATGAACCAACAGATAACTCACTGTATTGTTCCTTAGGTCTCAAGGTCCTTAGTGATCTGCCTTCTTTTCTTCACCTTTCAGAGTCGTTTTACATGTGTTTTATATATAATGTAGTTACCGGCGCAGTGACCTGGTTATTATTTAACAAGAAAGGAGTAAAGGGAAAATTTGCTAATTTAATACTGCAGGTCTATTCTCTGCTGATCGGTGGGGGAGGGGCCTGGACAAAGGCAGTTTAGACACATGCCCAATGAAGTCTGAGTGACATGGGAAGTGCCTACCTGTCTGTCACACCTGGGAGCAAGTCAGTGGCCAGAATAAGTGCATGAAACCTGAATATTTAAACAAAGGAAAGCTCTCTTGCTCTCCTTGCTCTTTGTTGCTCCTGGAGCCAGACTTCTGGGGGGCTCCCATGCCCTGCAACCCACCATGTGGCCTGCAGCCATGTGGGACCCATGCAATAGATTAATGGACTAAATTTAGACTAATCCTCATCCACAGCTGCACCATGGAACGGAAACTTTGGACTCTGGCTTTGTTTTTCACTTTGCTAAAGACCCAGCTACCCCTCTTCCAGGACTGGCTTGGGGGAAATGGGACATGAAAACCAAGGAATGTAATTTCATGCAAATAAAGTCTTCTACCACTTCTTATCCTCCAGTTGGGGCCTCTGAATATGCTTATTTTGAGTGTGCCCCGAGAATCCCACTCCCATTATTGAGGGAGGAATCTAATTCTCTGGAAACAGCATCAAGGGTTTTTAAGTGTATTTAGTGGCAAGAGTAGGGGAAAAATGCTTCTACTCCATCTTCCCAGAAATATAAATTCACTGATTTTTGAACTGGGGCTTAGGTTATTACCCACTCTTTTAGAGGGGTGACCACTTTTATTAAACCACTCAAAAGTATCTTACTATTTAAGGATTGAACTTAATGAGTCCTACTTATTGTTCCTCCTCTTGTTACCAGCTATACACATCTTCCCTGGACTGTCACCTCACCTCTCTCTTTTCTTTTACTAGTGCTGGTATTACACCAAACACATGAAAATACTTCATAAATACCACTTAGGAAGGGTCTCACACTCCATGAATTAACAGTTTACTAGTGATTTTTAGATTAGTAGGATTATATATCTCCTGGATAAATTAGATGTAAGAAAAACAATGTGTGACACAGATCAGTGATAGATCAATGTTCCTCAGAGTTCTGTGGATCATCCTATGAGAAGCAGCTGATGGCTTGTTCAAAATGTACAGTGCAGATTATCACCACAGGCGTACCAAATCAGAATGTCTGTGGTTAGAGCCTAGAAATCTGTTTTGTTAATGTTGTTAATCCTCACCCGAGGATATTTCTACATTGATCTTTTTAGAGAGTGGAAGGGAGGTAAGGAGAGAGAGAAACATACATGTGAGAGAGACACATTGATCGGTTGGCTCCCGCACGACCCCGACCAGGGCCGGGGATCGAACCTGCAACCCAGGTACGTGCCCTTGACTGGGAATTGAACCCGTGACCCTTTGGTCCGAGAGCTGGTGCTCTAACTGCTAAGCCAAACTGGCCAGAGCTAGAAATCTGTTTTTTTTTTTTTGTGGTATGTGCCTCTAGCAGGAACTGAACCCGGGACACTCTGGTCCACAGGCCGACACTCAGCTGCTGAGTCAAACTGGCCAGGGCTAGAAATCTGTATTTTAATTAAACAATTCAGGTGAGAATTGCATACTAGCTTGTGACAATCAGTCATTTAAATGCCTATTGGAAGATAATAATAGAATGTGAAAGTGCTTGTAAAAACCAACAACCAAACCTAAAAGTTTGGGAGAAAGCTAACTTGTACAGGTGTCTGCTTCGTATATTGTTAATGATAAAGATATGGAAAACTTTTTTTGTATTGAGTTCCAATTCTTGGGATAATTTTGAACCTAAAACGTACAATTGTATCTTTAGCTAATAGTTGTGTTTTTTTAAACCATGAGAATATGTTTAATCTAGATTAAATTCACTTCAGCACTAGGCATTTTTGTTTAGATTTCCCAGTATAATTTGCTATGTAACTTGATTTGTGTATATAAATATCTCCTTGTTTTACTCACAGGTATTAGGGGAGTATTCCTACCTCTCAGATAAGGAAACACCAGAGGAAGTTATAATGAAGCTCTACAAGTTACTTATAAATGACTCCATTTCTTCGGAAACAAAAGCCTGGTTAATTGCTGCTATAACTAAGTTGGCACCCCAAGCACACTCTTCTAACATTGTTGAGAGATTAATCCAGGAATTTACCGTATCTTTGAATACTTGTATGAGACAGCATGCATTTGAATTAAAGCATTTGCATGAGAATGTGGAATTTATGAAGAGCTTGCTTCCAGTTAATAAGAGTTGTGAAGACATGGTGGTAAGACATCTGTGTTCCATCTTTTTAATAATTAGATAATGTTTAAACAGAACAATTCTTGCATTTGTGATATATCAGGAATATATCAAAATGTAAGTTCTGTAGTTTGGAATTTTTCTTACATTACTATGAGAGAATTTGAGAGCTTCGATTCAGTACTGATCTTAAATAATTAGGAATTGAAGAGTATCTCTTCTGGAGAACTGTAGTGAAGGGACTTACACTCTTTGACAGTCTCTTTTAATATAATAGTACAAGAGTTGTTTTTATCTCCTTTGAACTTCTCTAATATGTCATTTTATTAGTATTGTCTTTTTTTGAGAATGTACAAAATAGTTCTCCATTTTATTTTGTCTATCTACTGTCTAAAATCTTTACCACTTTGGGACCTGACCACCTACCTTTTTTTCTCCCACCTCCTTTTAGCCACTACCCCTTTTAACCCAAAGCACTCAGTTACTGCTCACCCTCTGAATTTGTACCAGTCTCTCCCTCAAATTGGTATAAATCAGAAAACTTTCAAAAGGAAACCAGACTTGCTGAAATTTTTATGTGTTAGACGTCATAGTTGGTAAGAGGAGAGATGGGCAGTATTCCCACTAATTCTGAATCAGATTTTCATGACTTGTATTAATTTTGAAGCTTTGTTCATTAGTTCTTTCAATAGCTCCTTAGAGGCAGAAGCCTTTAACATTTGGTAGACATTTCAGGGACGTTCACTGAAATGATGAATAAATATGCTGACGTTAGAATTAAACTAGGAAATAACCACACTTTCCCCTTTCTCCAAGAATCTTAGTGAAACTAAACCTTTCCAAATTGAGAGTGTGACAGACACTTAAATGTTGGAGAATTCCATCTGTTCTAAATTATCTGAGCTGTTTGCATACGTTTGGCTAAATCAGGAGAAGCAAGTCTGTTTTCTGAGGTCATCACTACTATATCCTCTTGTGTGTATATATCATTTTTCTTTTTCTCCTTACTTTTCTCTTTTCCTTTCCCCCATACTCATTCTTCATCTCTTATCTTTTTCATTTAACCATTCTCTTGTACCTTTCTATTCCTGCCGAAATTAAATAAATTAAGTAATTTTCCATAGATTTGTGAAAAAGCATTTTTAGGTAGAAAGGAATTGGACAGTTAAATCAAAGGCACTGGGGGAGGCTGAATAATAGCTCCCCAAGAGCTATATAATAGCTCCACATCTCAGTCCCTGGAATCTCTGTGTATGTCACCTTACATGGTAAAAGGGACTTTGAAGGTATGATTAAGTTAAGGATTTTATGATGGGGGAGATTATCCTGGATTATCCAAGTAGGCATGAGATAATCGTGGGGCTCCTTAGAAAAGTGAGGCAAGAGTTTATCAAAGAGAAGGCAAGTAGCTATAGAAGCAGAGATCAGAGTGATGTGGAATGCTGGTGGCCTCTAGAAGATGGAAGAGACGAGGAACTTAGTCTCCCTTGGAGCCTCCAGAAGGAACTAGAGTTGTCAGCACCTTGTTTTTATCCCCGAGCAGCAGGAAACTAACACAGATTATAGCTCATAGTGTATGTGTTTTCTCCTCAGGTAGGTTACAAGTCTTATAAGGGCAGAAACTTGTCTTCCTTTGTTGTAATCGTAGGACCTAATACAATGCCCTAATATATTGGGTGCTCAAAATTGTATTCCTCAATGCAGTGAAATTAATAATAACTGCAAGTAACTTAGCTGAGTGATTTGATTATAGATGTTTCAGAAAGCTAGAGCATTAGGTAGTACTTTTGGAATTAAAGCTCTGTGTTTCACCTAAAAATTATTTTTAGGGTATATGGGCTGAAAGTACTTATGTGAATGAATAGTCTACTGTTTAAGGTAAATTTTTTAAATTCCTTATTTTTGCTTAAATTTAATACAGGTAGATGCTTCCTTATCTTTTCTGGATGGTTTTGTGGCTGAAGAACTCGGTCAAGGGGCAGCACCGTACAAACCTCATCACCAACGGCAGGAGGAAAAGCTTTCTCAGGAAAAAGGTAATTTTATTAGCTAGATTATAGGGACTTTTTATTTTTTTAGGCATGTAAGTAAATAAGTGAAGATATTTACTTTTATTTTCCCTCTTTAAATCTATTTGTAACTTGTTTACCTTGATTAGGTCTTTGGAAATCCAGGGGGGAAAAAATTAGCCTAGTGGTATTGCCAAAGTCCCAGGCTTCATGTATAGCAATGCCTAAGATATAACCGTCCTGGAATTTCAAAGGACCTTGAAGGTGGAATTATCATGTTAGTCACTGTGATAGAGGGCTGACAGGTATTAGTGGGAGATGCATCTGCGAAAAGTGTCAGAAAACCTGGTTACTATGGACTAGTGGGGTTCATTTTCACTCTAAGCTGTCTCGTATATCTTTAGTGTGTTAGAATGCTTCCACCAACAAAATATCTGATCAGTGAAGTTAGAAACAGCCAAGAAAGTAAAGAATCACTAAACTACATTTAAGAAATGTAGCCCTTCAGGGAAAGATTTCTGTCATGATTTTATTTTTATTTTTATCTTTATTTTTATTTTTTTGGTATGTGCCCCTAGCAGGAACCAAACCCGGGACTCTCTGGTCCACAGGCCGATGCTCCAACCGCTGAGCCAAACCGGCCAGGGCTCTGTCATGATTTTAGTAAAGAGGAAATTATTGAGATATTTGGATGGTGGATGAAAAGTATGTATATGAATAAAAGGAGACCATTGACTATTGTCTCTATAAGAGTTCAGAATGTTAATACTGAAAAATTAATACTGAAAGGTCTTTTTTGTTTTTATTCATCATTTAATGATTTTGAGTACTTAATATTTTCCAGGCACTGTGCTAGGCATATGAGTACAACTAAATGGTTGATCCTAAAATGAGACCAAAAATTATAAACTCTAATAATAGGCTTGATGTTATCTTTTTGCAAAAGTATTTGTTCTTTTGAAGTTTGGAGATATTATTTAGCACAGTGATACCAAATGGCCTAGAAAATTCAATTTTCTTTCAAAGGGTAATCAGTTTTCTTCCTATTAACTCTTCATGTACAGGGCGGGGCAAAGGTAGGTTTACAGTTGTGAGTAGGAGAAACACAGTTTATTTATTCATTTTTTAAATCCTCACCCAAGGATACATTTATTGATTTTAGAGAGAGAGGAAGGGAGAGGGAGAGAGAGAAAAACATTGATTGGCCCCTGGGGAATCAAACCCTGACCAGGAATTGAACCTGTAACCTTTTGGTATACAGGATGTTGCTCTTACCAACTGAGCCACCTGGCCAGGGCAGAGTTTATTGTTTTTTTAAAAATTTTTAATCCTCACCTGAGGATATTTTTCTGTATCTCAGATAGAGTGGGAGGGAGGGAGAGAGGGTGAGAGAGAGAGAAAGAGAGGAATATCAGCGTGAGAGTGACACATCGATTGGTTGCATCCCGCCACAACCCTGACCAGGGCCGCAACCGAGGTACATTCCCTTGACTGGAATTGAACCTGTGACTTTGGTTCGCAGGCCGATGCTCTAACCGCTGAGCAAAACCAGCCACGATGATTCTTGTATTATTATTTATTAATCATTGTATTTTTTCCCATATGAACAACTGTAAACGTACTTTTGCCCCCCCGTGTAAAGTTTTGAATTACAGTTGCCTGACCTGTGAATATAGTGCATACAGAGCCCTTACGGCAGCCAGGGCATAGAGTAAGAATCTGGAGTTCCAGAGTAGGAGAGGTGGTCCAGTTGCCACATTCCTCATTTTCAGTATGTCTGGAGCCATCTGTTGCCTTTACTGCAATTCAGGGGTGGGGTATGGAGTGGGAGATAGGACGAGGAACCTAATTCCTGGCACTGACTGTCTCCTTTTTAAAAATAAGTTAAGTGGCTGATGTAAATATAATAGTCCTGGAATTACTCAGGCTAATATATTCCTTTGCCAAGTACTTTTTTCCCCATAGAACCATCATTGTAAATGGGGTTAAGCTCTTAAATTAGGCTCTTCCCAAATCTATTTTTCAAAAGTTCTCTAAAGTAAAATTAAAATTTCATGAGCTTAGACTTTTACATCATGGAGAAAGAAATCGGCTATGAGACAGGACATAGAGGCTTAATAAATAGTTGAAGAATAAGTTATAAAATTATATATCCTACAGTGGGACTGGCTATAAGAGAAAATATAGAGGAGGGTGAAAAATAGGTATTTTTGGCCTAGAAAATTTTAAATCTGGAATCCTTCAAGTATCAATCAGTTCTGATACTGATCTTACTTGAGATTTTTATTAATCATTTGCAGAGAATATAGTTAAATGTAATTTCTATGAATTATATTTAGCTCTCTCGGGTAGAAAGATGTCAGGTTTATAAGAAACAAAGTTTATAATAAACTTTAGAAAACTGTTGTAAGATACTAAGACTTGGCAAACAATACATGGGATGGTGGGGAACAAACTTGTATTACCAGTTCCCATCCAAGGAAAGCATTTAGGAATCAGTGTGGATTATTGTATTAAAACATTATTCAAATATGTTGTATTTGAATATGTTGTAGCCCCAGTGTTAGATAAAACCAGAAATAGGGGAAATAGCAGTATGGTCTGTCTATAGAACTATGGTTTTTAGAAAGTCATGTCAAGTTGAAATTGTTAGTCTCTCAAAAAAAAAATAATAATAATACTAGCTGGGGAATGACCAGAGAAGTATAAGGTAGGATAAAGAAGGAGTGTTCAGATAGTACCTGGACTTTTGGCTGTGATTACTTTGTAGTATATACAGATGTCAAATTATAATGTACACCTGAAACTTATATAATAAAGAAAAAAAATTTAAAGTAGTGTGCAAATAGTCAAGGCTTCTAAGGTCATGAAGTATACAAACAGATTAAATATTGAATTTCTCACTCCCGGGATTATTTATATTTTATCTCTCACCAGATTACTTTCAGTAACTTGCAACTCTCAAGGACTCTGTCTTCAGCTCATGCTTTCTCTTCTGCACGAACTGCCCTTTGCTCTCATTCTTCTTATACATATTCATTAAATTGCTATTCAGCAGAATCTTCTTCCTTCTCCTTCTGCGTACAGTCATTCTCTTGCTCCCCTCATACACGTGAGCTTTGTACATTTAGTTAACTCCTAAAAATTTTGACCCTTTTCATTGTTCACTTCTGTAAGAATCTTGGGAAATTTTCTCTAAAGAATAAAAGTAATATGGTTTGAACTTCATTCTCAACCTCGAGCCTTCTGGGCTTTCCAAAAATGGCAACCTTTAATTCTTTTGTCACAGGATCAGAGATTTATGTGACCGTTCTCTAGATACTGTCCTCTTCCATGTCTAGTCTTTTCCTCTCGACTCTCAAACTCTCCCCTCTAATTTTGAATTCTTTTGTTCTTTGCTTAAACTCTTTATGCTGACTTATTCTTTGGCTTACACTCTTTGTCTTGTGCATGGGAAATATTTCTTGAGCTATTCATTTTTACTGGAAGTGTTAATGCAGAGGCTTGGTGACCCACTGTCAGAGAGGCTATTTAAAAAGAGGCAAATATGTGCCCTGGCCAGTTTGACTCAGTGGTTAGAGTGTCAGCCTACAGTCCAGAGAGACCTGGGTTCGGTTCCCGCTAAGGGCACATACCTTGGTTGCGGTTTGTTTCCAGTCCTGGTTGGGTCATGCAGGAGGCAGCCACTCGATGTTTCTTTCATGTCGATGTTTCTCTCTCTCTCTTCCTCTCTCTCCCTCCCCCTCTATCTGGGCAAAAAATGAAAAAATGTCCTGGGGTGAGGATTTAAAAAAAAAAAGAGGCAAATATGGGATTGAAGATTAAACTAGATCATTGAAAAGCTTAAAATGAAAGGATATGCTAGCTGAAAAGGACCTTCGAAGAATTTAGACAAGTGGTTTCCAAACGTGACTGTGAATCATGATCACGAAGGCTTTTTAGCCCTGGCTGATGTGGCTCAGTTGGTTAGAGCATTGTCTTGTGCACTGAAGGGTTGCGGGTTCAATTCCCAATCAGGGCACACACCTAGGTTGTAGGTTTGATCCCAGGTTGTGGCACATGCGGGAGGCAACCGATTAATGTTTCTCTCTCACATCAAAGTTTCTCTCTCTTCTTCTCCCCTCCACCACACCTTTCCCTCTCTCTCTAAAATCAGTAGGAAAACATTTCCTTGGGTGAGCATTAAAACAAAACAAGAACCAAAGAGGGTTTTAAAAAATGATTCAGAGTTTTGAGCCCTATCCCTATACCTACTGTATCTAAATTTCTAAGAGCTTGGCTGTATGTACAAAAAGGTCCATGGGTGATCTATGAAGTTTGTTTCTGGTTATCAAATCAGCATTTGGAAACTGCACACCTAGTCTGAATTCTTCACTTTACAAGGAAATGAAGGTGTAGTTCATACACCTAGTTAACACCTGACCTACATAAGACCTCAGTTCTGATTACTAATTAGCCCGTTACTTTGTCCTACTACACATTGATTCTTCTATATCTTTCATTTAGCTAACAAACAAACATGTATTCAGTACACTTTGGATCAGGTGCTGTTTCTTTGGAGGAGACAATTATAATGCAGTAGTTGAGAGTGTGAGGCTCTGGAACCAGAGTGTCTGATTTCTTATCTATCATTTCATGTCTTTGTAATCTTGGGTAAGTTTGTGGCAAACTCTTTGGCACAGTTTCTTCATTTGTAAAATGAGGATAATAATTATAGAAGTTCACATTTATATATTCTAAGCTACTTTTTATGATTTAAGATGGTCCTTTGTATTATAATCCAGACAGATAAAAAAGATAAATGTGCAGTTAGGAAAACAAATAAACATAGTGGGACCTTATGCGGAGCAGAACATTATTGCTCTTTCTCATTAAATAAATTTATAAGTAGGAGCCTAGGATTGCTGTTGGCCTTATGAATATAGAAGAAGAAGGGAGAAAAGAAAGATGTTTTTCTTCCAGGAGTATTCCTGCCAGAAGTTGGGCACAAAATGTGTGCGTAATTTCATTAGCCGAAACTCAGTCAAATGGCAAAGGAGTCGGGAAATGTCCTCTCTTTTCTGGGTGGCCTAGCTAAGAATCAAGGGTTCTGTTACTTAAATAGAAGAGAATGGATATTTTCATCTGCTCTGTCACAACAATAGTATGAATTTTCATGGCTCTGATTGAATTCATTTAGGTCTGAACCTGAGTGAACCTGTTCTTTGTCAGCAAGAGAGATTTCACAGAGAGGGCGATGCCAGTCCATTGGGTGCAGGAAGTGCCATCTTGTTAAGCAAAAATGCAGTCATCTCTTCATTCATAGCTGCTGAAACATTTTTGTATGAGAGCAGCAACTTTTCAGTAGATCTGGTTTATCACTTATCTTTCCTAATTGAATTTCTTTTTAGCTTCTAAGGGAGGTAATGTGATAAAAAGGAAGGATTGTCTTTGATCAAGAAATAGTTTGAAGGCTGTAGTAGAATTACATAAATCATAGCTGCTTTATTATTATTACTATAACTATTTGGTTAGATAATCTCCAAAGTCCCTTCCAGTTTAAAAATTGTTGCCGGTTTGGCTTAGCGGGTAGATTGTTGGCCCTTGGACCAAAGAGTTGAGGGTTTGATTCCAGTCAAGGGCATGTACCTTAGTTGTGGTTCGATCCCCAGCCCTGGTTGGGGTCAGGGTCATGTGGGAGGCATCTCACACATCGATATCTCTCTCCCACTCCCTCACATTGATTTTTTTTTTTCTTGCTCTTTCTCCGTACCTTCTTCTCTCCCACTCTAAAAATAATTGTCACTAGATTCTAGTCTTCAATTATTTTATTTCAGTAATGAATGGTAACTTTGATAATTTTTGCTTTTTTAAAAACATTTTTTGCTTTGTTTTAAATATGAACCTCTCTTATTTTAAAATTTTAGTTCTCAATTTTGAACCATATGGACTCTCCTTTTCTTCATCTGGCTTTACTGGACGACAGTCTCCTGCTGGCATTTCTCTGGGTTCAGATGTATCTGGAAACAGTGCAGAGACAGGGCTGAAAGAGTAAGTTCCTTTCTTATTAAAATTGAGAACATGGGAGCACTTAAATGTGGAAGGGTTTCTGAAAGCTAAATTCTGCATGGGCTGTTGTTTCCATTTCTTGCTCTCAAAGTGTTGATATGGTACTGTATGTCCTTATACTTTAAGAGAGCTTGCTTATTTCCGAGACAGCATGGGATGTATACAAGCCTTATACATAGTAATGATGTGTGTGTTATTACTACATATTGTATGTGTGTGTGTGTGTGTGTATTTAAAGAAGTATATTGAGGAGGAATGGACTAATTCCATGTAGGGCATGCTTTTTTTAATTGATTTTTTTAGAGATAGAGGAAGGGAGAGAGAGAGAGAAACATCAGTGTGGGAGAGAAACATTGATCGGCTGCCTCCTGCACGCCCCACTGGTGATCGAGCCCGCAACCCAGACATGCATCCGATTGGGAATTGAACCAGGACCTGTGAGTCCATCGGACAACACTCAGTCCACTGAGCCACACCGGCCGGTCCCATGTAGGTCATTTTTTATTAATGTCCAGATTTTCTTTCAGTCAATTAGTACTCAGTGGCATTAGTTCTTCACTCAGCATGAAGTATAATTACCTGTTTTTGTTTCTGGCATATTACATAAAGTCAAAGTGATTATGATTCTAACAAATTAGAAAGGAATAATCATCAATACAAACATTTCTGAGCCTGTCTTTTAGATTCATTTCACGATCTGCCTATCTTGTAGTACAAATTTTTTAAATGCTATTTTGGACCACAACAGGGCTACTTAACTGAGCTAAGTGCCAAGGACACATAGTTCTTATGTGAACACAATAGAGGCAATCTTAGGCTGTTTCAGCCTGGACTTATGACTATATTAGACACTTCCAGAATCACAGCTGTCACTCTAGGGACAGAAGTAGGGGAGTCCATATTCTAATCACTACTTTAATTCTTCTTCAACTCAGGTATAAAAACCTTTTAACATTCATGCTTTTCCCAAAAATCTTACTTTTTCTTTCATAAGTTAAACCTCACTTTTTTTTTTTTTTATCTTCACCCGAGGACATTTTTTCGATATTTTGTTCAGATAGCGTGGGAGGGAGAGGGAGAGAGAGAGAGAGAGAGAGAGAGAGAGAGAGAGAGAAACATCGACGTGAAAGGGACACATCGAGTGGTCGCCACCCACACGACCCAACCAGGGCCGGGGACAAACTGCAACCAAGGTACGTGCCCTTAGTGGGAACCGAACCCGGGTCTCTCCAGACCGCAGGCCAACACTCTAACCGCTGAGCCAAACCGGCCAGGGCCTCACTTCATTTTTATAAAAGCACATTGTAGTAGTTGAAAATGTAGCTAGTGGTCATAATAAGAACCTTTTGGATTAAACGTAGATTTATACCTTGGAGTGTATTTGAATAATTTTATTTTTGCTTTCAACAGAATTTTATTTAATGAATTTATGTAGGGTTAATTCTTTCATTGAGTGATTATAGCTAAGAAACGTAAGAGTCATTTTCCATCTTTAACTCATCAAAATTAAAGATATTTGGAAAAATCAGTGGGGTTAAGGAACTGATTTACAGTAGTTCTGTTTGTGGACAATTTATTTAAGCAATTAAATGAAAATTAAGTGATCTGAAATTTTAAACCAAGTCTAGAGTTTGGTTGCCTTAAATCCTGTCTGAAGGGTGCGGGGAGGTTGATTGTAACTAAAATAGAATCTGGGTTTTACTTCTGGCATATAGAATGATACATAAAAGCTGCTTCTAAAAGGCCATTGCAGTGATATGTTTTTAAAAATGCCTCGAGAAAGTAATTGCAAAGCAGTTATTTAAATTGACTTGATTTCATTATCAATCTCCTTAGGACAAATAGCTTGAAGCTGGAAGGAATAAAGAAGTTGTGGGGGAAAGAGGGCTATCTTCCCAAGAAGGAGAGCAAAACTGGAGATGAAACTGAAGCTCCGCCTGTTCCTCAAGAGAGTGTAATAATGGAGAATGTAGATCAAGCTATAGCAAAAAAGGATCCATCTCAAGTCCTTACCCAATCTAAAGAGGAGAAAGAAAAGCAGCTGCTGGCATCATCACTATTTGTTGGGCTAGGATCAGAAAGTACAGTCAATTTGGTACGTAGCCAGTTATATTCCTCTGAGAATCTGTGTCCCCTTTTTCATGCAAAAAACACCTTGCTCTATGAAAGCTCTTGGCCATCATCTATATACATGGTGGGAAATGGCTTTCCCAGATCCAGAGTCACCAATGACACACCTTTGTATTCCTGAAAGAGAAAATCTTTTTAAAAAAAATTTTTTTTTTGATCCTCACCTGAGGACATTTTTCCAATTTTTGTTCAGGTAGAGTGGGAGGAAGAGAGAGAGAGAAACATCGATGTGGAAGGGACACATCGAGTGGCTGCCACCTGCACGACCCAACCAGGGCTGGGGACAAACCGCAACCAAGGTACATGCCCTTAGCGGGAACTGAACCCGGGTCTCTGGATTGCAGGCTGACGCTCTAACCACTGAGCAAACCGGCCAGGGCCTGAAAGAGAACATCTTAATTGGCTTAGTTTGAGTCAGATGTTCTCTCTAGTCTGTCCAGCCAGCTAGGGCAAGGGTCAGGGTCCAAATAAAGTTGCAAATGTAATCAGGGGTATTCTCACCCCAGTAGGTGGAGGACAGTTCTCATTAGGAAGGGAACTTGATGGAAATACTGTCAATAATAATAGTTCAACAGTATTAATTTGTCTGTGAAAGAGTACTTCTCAAAATGGTGTTTTTAATAGTGAAAAATAGGAATTTAGGTGTCTAACAGGAGAATGAGTACATAAATTATATTAGCTCAGAATATTACTCAGCCATTAGGAATTATAAATACTGCATTGTAAAAGAAAAAATACTTATATATTAAAAACGGAATATAAAATTCTATTTATACCCTACCTGTAACTGTTAAGAAGATAAAAGTGTTTTGAGACTGAAAGGAATTACACAAAAGTGAAAACTATATTCAGGTATTACTATTATGATTTTCAAAAGATTTTATGCTAATGTTATTCTCATAGTGAAAGAATGAGAAAAATGGAGTGAAGGACAAGTGCTATTGCTGAGGCTGAGAATTCCATGTCATTTTCCATTTGGTGGGCTGGTGGACCTGTGAAATGGTGATTAGAGCTACATTTTCTTCAGTTTTTACATTATCCCAATTCTTTCATCTTCCTTTTCCCTTGGTGGAATTTTCTTTCCATCCCTGTCAACTCCAGGCCAGACTCTAGGCTATACTCTTTGCCTGTGTCTCTCTCTTATCCAGATCCCATTTCTGTTAGACTTGATATTCATTCACTCCTAAGGAAAACCAAATTCAGCCTAAAAGTATATAAGCAATGTATCTTAATGCTGTCTCACTCAGCATTTGCAGTTCAGTAACATAGTGGCTGATCTTGGATCTTTGAGTTGTTCCAGCAGATTAGGTGAGGGTGCCAGTGAGTGCTCGGACACTGGTGGGGAGGTTCCCAGAGCGCACCCAGATCAGACTGCATCAAGGTCAGGTGCACCCAGGTGTAGGTAGGGCCCTGATGTGTGAACCTCAGTGCTTGTATTGAAGGATCCCTGCCTGTCCACAAAGTGCATAGAGTCAGAGAGTTTCTCAGGAGAACATTCAGGGTGACAAACTAATTGTCAGACCTTTTTGTGGTGGGCTTGAAATCAGAACTGTAATTAGGATGTTTTTGTATTTATTTATTTAATTATTTTTATTATTATTATTTTTTATCCTCACCCGAGGACAATTTTCCTTTTTTTTTTTTTTTATCCTCACCTGAGGACATTTTTTTTTTTTTTTTTGTTCAGGTAGAGTGGGAGGGAGAGAGTGGAACAGAGAGAGAGAGAGAAACATCGATGTGAAAGGAACACATCGAGTGGCTGCCACCCGCACAACCGATCAGGGCCGGGGACAAACTGCAACCGAGGTACGTGCCCTTAGCGGGAACCGAACCCAGGTCTCTCAGGACCGCAGGCCGACGCTCTAACCGCTGAACCAAACCGGCCAGGGCAATTTTCCATTTTTTTGTTCAGATAGAGAAAGAGAGAGAGAAACATTGATGTGAAAGGGACACATTGAGTGATTGCTACCCACACAACCCAACCAGGGTCAGGGACAAACAGCAACTGAGGTACGTGCCCTTAGTGGGAACTGAATCTGGGTCTCTCCGGACCGCAGGCCGATGCTCTAACCACTTAGCAAAACTGGCCAGGGTTGTTTTTGTATTTAAATCATGCTAAATTCTTTTTGGATTACCCTTTTACTTTTCCCCTCAGCAATCATTAGAATAGGTTTTTTTTTTTTTTTTTAAGGAGGTTGTTTTCCTGTTTTATGGGACCCCGCATTCTGTGAGGAACTGTGTTGTAACTCAGATGGCATCATGCAGAAAGGAGGGGGAGCAAATGACTACATAAAATTAGCATGTATCCTCTTACTCCTCAACCCCAACTTTTCCTCTGTCACTGGAGCAAAGCAGACGGTATTAGCTCTGACTGGATATGCTCCATCTGTGTCAGGACTCCTTTTTTAAAAAAACATTTTTTGTTGAATTCATTGGGGTAACATTGGTTAATAAAACTATATAGGTTTCAAGTGTACAGCTCTATAGTACATCATCTGTATATTGTGTTGTGTGGCCACCACCTCAAGTCAAGTCTCCTTCTGTCATTGTTTATCCCCTCTTTACCCTCTTCCACCTCCTTTCCCTCTGGTAATCACCATACTATTGTCTATGTCAATGAGTTGTGTGTTTTTGGATTTTTTTTTTTGCTTATTCCCTTCATCTTTTTCACTCATCCTCTACAAACGCCATCCTCTCTGACAATTGTCTGTCTGTTCTGCATCTATGAGTCTGTTTCTACTTTGTTTGTTAGTTTATTTTGTTCATTAGATTCTACATGTAAGTGAAATCGTGTGGTACTTGTCTTTCTCTGACTGGCTTATTGCACTTAGCATAATACTCTCCAGGTCCATCCATGCTGTCACAAAAGGTAAGATTTCCTCCTTTTTCGTGGCCGAGTAGTATTCTATTGTGTAAATGCACCATAGCTTTTTTATCCACTGATGGACATTTGGGCTGCTTCTATTTTTTTTTTTTTTTTTTTTTATGCTTACCCGAGGACATTTTCCCATTTTCATTGAGACAGAGTGGGAAGGAGAGAGAGAGAAACATTGACGTGAAAGGGACACATCAAGTGGCTGCCACCTGCACAACCCAACCAGGGGTGGGGACAAACTGCAATTGAGGTATGTGCCCTTAGCGGGAACCGAACCTGGGTCTCTCTGGACCGCAGGCCGACGCTCTAACCGCTGAGCCAAACCGGCCAGGGCTGGGCTGCTTCTAAATCTTGGCTATTGTAAATAATGCTGCAATGAATATAGGGGTGCATGTATTCTTTTGAATTAGTGTTTCAGGTTTCTTCGGATATATTCCCAGAAGTCAAACCACTGGGTCACAAGGCTGTTCCATTTTAAATTTATTGAGGAAACTCCGTACTGTTTTCCACAGTGGCTGCATCAATCTGCCTTCCCACCAAAAGTGCACAAGAGTTTCCTTTTCTCCACATCCTCTCCAGTACTTGTTGTTTGTGAATTTATTGATGGTAGCCATTCTGACACTGTGGTTTTAATTCGCTTTTTCTCTGGATGGCTGCTTTTCTCTACCATCCTATTCCCTTCCAGTTTTGCTAATGTTAAAATTTTCAGTTACACAGATCAAGGCTATATTGATGTATTTCACTTTATTACTATTTATTTTTAGGTATATGGTTCATTTTTAGTTAATTTTTTTTTACATAGTTAAAGGGTCTCAAGGGTTTCCTCCCTCCCCCTCTCCCTTGCCTTTTATTTTACCTTAATTTTTAGAAGACATTTTCTCTGGGTAATGAGTTCTAGGTTGACTGTTTCTTTTATTTATGTTTTTAAATTTTTAAATTTTTTTTGGAGAGAGAGGAAGGGAGAGAGAGAGAAACATCAGTGTGAGAGCAAAACATTCATTGGCGGCCTCCTGCACACCCCCTACGGGGGACTGAGCCTGCAACCCAGGCATGTGTCCTGACCGGGAATCTAACTGGGACCTCTCAGTCCATGGGACGACGCTCAGTCTGTTGAGCCACACTGGCTGGGCTTATTTAAGTCACTCCAGTGTCTTCTGCCTTGTGTAGCTTCTGATTAACAGCATATTAATGCAGAATAAAAGATTATTAAACTTGAAGACAAAGTACTAGAAACTATCCGAAATGAAACACAGAAACAGAAAGAAAAGATAAAACAAATAAATGAAAAACTTGAGAACATCCATGACCTGAGGAATAATATTGAGCAGTTTAATATACAGTAGTCTCCCCTTATCCACAGGGGATATTTTCCAAGGCCCCAGCAGAGGCCTGAAACTGTGGATAGTACTGAACCTTACGTATACTATGTTTTTTCTTATACACAAATAACTATGATAAAGTTTAATTTATAAATTAGAGATTAACAATAATAACTAAAAACAAGATGGAACAGTGCAAACAAAACTATAATTAAAGTTATTTGAATGTGGTTTCTCTCTGTCAAATATCTTACTGTACTTCTTGTGATGATGTGAAATGAAAAAATGTCAAACCTCCCTGGATCTGTGTAACCATTCCTTGCTTGCACAAATGGTGGCTTGGTGTCATTCGTTTCAGGGGCTCCTTGCTGAAGTCTTTGTATAGGGTCAGCATTTTCTGGAGTAACACGTTGCCATCATTTAAAACACGTTTTCTGTTCATGTTTCCAGGTGCATATCATTGCCTTTTCTGTCTTAACTAAGTACTTATCACTGACTGTAGCTGTAACTTTTACAGTTTGAGTTGCTGCAGCAAAACTAGCATGCATTTCTTTTTTCTTCCTTACAGTTTTATAGATAGAAGATTAGTTCTTAAGCCACCTCAGCATATGTTTTTTTTTGTTCCTATTAAGTTGAGAACTTTCATCTTTTCATTTGAAGGAAACACTTTATTGCTTCTCTTTGGCATATCCAAATTGCCAGCATCACTACTCCTGTGTTTTGGGGCCATTATTAAGTAAAATATGGGTACTTGAATACAAACACTGCAATACCAAGACATGATCTGATAACTTAGATGGCTAAGTGATGGGTGGGTATTGTATACAACATGGATATGCTGGACAGAGGGATGATTCACATCATGGAGCGGGACAGTGAGGGATTTTATTGTGTACTCTGAATGACATGCAATTTAAAACTTATGAATTGTTTATTTCTGGAATTTTCTATTTAATATTTTTGGACTGAGGTTGACTGCAGGTAACTGAAACCACAGATAACTGAAACCACAGTTAAGCAAAACCACAGTTAAGGGGGGACTACTGAATGTCTAATTCAAATCCCATGGCTACTGGAAGAGGGAGGTCCTTCACCCACTCACCCCTGCTTCTTTTTGTGTTGAAACCATTTTAGTTTTTGTTTGATGACTTCTGAATTGAAAGGTAGGAGACAAACTCATCTGCTGAGAGTTGGAAGAGATGTTGGGACTTGAGAGAATGAGAGGGTACAGAAAGGGAACTAGAATCATGTGAAGGGTGGCCACATGGTATTACAGCCCCCAGGGAGATGCAGGCATGGACTTGGTCTTAGAGGAGTGTAGTCTGCTCTGCTGGTTTTAGATAGACCTCGGAGGCAAGGGGACACTTGAGCCATCTCTTCTCACACAGCTTTGCAGACCATTCCTTAGGAGGGTTAGCTCGAGGATGGCACTTTGCTGTTCTCATCTCTAGAGTTTGTAGCAAACATCACTAGTCACTTATACAATTCTTTCCTGCGGTGTGTTCTAGTCAGCCATTGCCAGTTGTTCTTAAGGTAAAACCAGTTTGTCCTCCCTGTTCACTGACTCAGAGGCCATGAAATCATGATTATTATAGGTTATTGAATCAGTTTGAACCATCGCTGTATTTGAGGATATCTTACCTTCTATAGGAAAACTCAAGAAACTAAAAAAGTATCTGGGTTTCTTACTGTTCTTAATTTGTGCAATTCTGTGTTCTAGTATTCTGAAATCTAGCAAGTTTTTAGAATTGTTCACCATGGACTTTTTAACATTATTTATTTTTCTGATTTTATGTGTTTTTAATGAGAAATAAGATTTAGCTAATAGTTCAGTTATGTAGCTTTCAGGATTTCAGGGCTTAACATTTTATTTATTCCTGATTCATTTTTAATCTATGTTTTTAGATAGACCTTTAGCAAGTTAGTAAATTGCTCATTTGAAATTATAGAAAAATGTTTAAAACTCATGACTAGAAGAATGGTTTCTTCTTATATTATGATGTTTAATTTTTTACAGCTAGGTAAAGCAGATACCATCTCTCACAAGTTCAGAAGGAAATCAAAAGTCAAGGAAACTAAAAGTGGAGAAACCACCAGTGCTCATAATATGACCTGCTCTTCCTTTAGTTCTTCATCAAATGTGACTTATGAAGAAGATTATTATTTGGATAATTTGCAGGATAGAGGAGACAAAGAACTAAAAAAATTTACTCTCAGTTCAGAACTTTTGGATTCTGAGTCGCTCACAGAACTGCCCTTGGTTGAGAAACTGTCAAATTGCAGGCAGTCTACACCTTCGTTATTTGCTGATAACAACATGGACGTTTTTCACCCTCCTCAATCCACCGCAGTCTCAGTTGCCAATGAAACCTTAGCTGCTGCTTTGTTGGAAGAAACTACTGAACACATGCACTCAGATCTTATGGAGGTCTGTAGTAATGAAACCATGTCAGTGTCTTCTTACAAAATTTGGAAAGATGATTGTTTATTGATGGTGTGGTTAGTTTCTAATAAAAGTGGTTCAGAATTGAAAAGTGCTAACTTAGAAATTGCTCCTGCAGAAAATTTCAAGGTAAGAAAATGAATGGTTCATTATTTCTGCCTTAAATGTACAGTGCTTACTTAGTGTTTCTGCTGTTGGCTTTTCTGATGGATTATACATTTCTTTCACATTCCTTCCTCTTTAGCAAAAAAAGTAAAAGATGTGACAGATTTTAAATTATTTTAAGTAGGGATAAATTATTCAAAAGCGACAAGGAAACCTAGAAAGATTGTATTGGAGAAGGCCATAAATACAGGGTGGGGCAAAAGTCGGTTTACAGTTGTAAGTATGTGAAGTTTATTCTTATATTGTTATTTATTAATTACTGTATCATTTTCCATGTGGACTACTGTAATCCTACTTTTGCCCCATCCTGAATAAAGTGAGTTTTGATGGAGCACAGTAGTTACGAATATAGATGCTTGACTTAAGACTGCTTGGCTTTGAATCTTGCTTCTGCTGCTTATTAGTGGGTGACGTTGTCAAGTTTTATACCTGCTTTATGCTGCAGTTTCATTGCATTTAACGTGAAGGTGCTCATTGTGCTTTTGCATTATGCTGAGCGCTCAGGCGGCAATTGTTTATTGCCTAACTCCAAGAGACGGTGCTTTCTAGAAATAAAGCTAATTGTATCATTGTGTGGCTCTATATGGTGGAGCTATAATGAGATTTGACCAGTGGATTAGTATCCACAAAACTGATCCAGTTTCTCCTGTGAGCTAGAATGTGTTGAAAAGGATGTTACTTGGGCCTGACCAGGGCAGAAGCCCGGACTCTAGGTGTGTATAAGAATCACCTGTGGAACTTAAACCAAAACAGAACCCAAGTCAGTTGCCTGAGCTCTACCACCAGAGCTTGAGTAAGGGTGGAGAATGAGAAGGGAAGGCACCTGTATATATCTATATTTTAACTCTCGCTTTAACACTCTGGTGCTAACCAGGATGAGAGCCACAAGACTAGAGTTTAATAAACATTTTTTTTTTTGTTCTTAAATTATACAGAGGTTGTCATTGTAATGACATTTGTTACATATTTTTGATCTTTGTACTAGTATTTCTTAATTATCTGTGCTAGTGAATTTTTCTCAAGTTAAGTTGTGAGTCATCTTCATAATGTGGCTTGTTATTAATATCTCTCAGTAGTATGCTTTTATACCACTTCAATTAAATGGAAATTTGGTATTCATATGATAGTCTGTATCAATCCCTTCTTCAGTACTTTAATTACTTTTATTTACAGCTCACTGAGCAACCTGAATACTGCTTGCCTATAATAGAAGAAGAGAACACCAGATACTTTCAATATAGTGTGCAGATGGAAAAACCTTTTACAGAAGGGACTCTTCCTGGTTTTGTAAATTACCAAATGATGGACACTCATGCTGTTCAGCTTGAATTTTCAGTAAACTTATCACTGTTGGATTTCATTAGGTAAGTATTCTAGAATGTTTATTCAGGTTACTCATTCATTCAGCAATTATTTATTGGGCTTCTTCTCTGTACAGAAGCACTATGGAAGGTACTAGGGAGTATAACAATTCAAAACTAGACACAACCCTTACCTTTAGGGAGTGTCCAGCCTAGGGAGGAGACATTGAACAGTCATATAAATGCATATATAATTGAGAATTGTACTTCGAAGAGAAAATAAATTGTACAATGACCGTTTATAATGGGACCCGATTTAGGTTGGAGTTGGTTAGTGATCCTGGAAAACTTCTGAAAGAAACTGATATTAAAGTAATGTTTAAACTTTAAAGATTCCGCATGGCTTTTTTTTAAAGCTTTAAAAATTTCTCATTTGTATTTTATTTACTTGAGTAATTCTGTTTATTAGGCTTTAGAGATCTGCAAGAAAATTACTCAGCAAAGTTATTACACTTTTATTAGACATGTAGTTAAGTATTTAGCATTATACTAGGCACTGTGCTGTGTTACCAAAATAATTGAAAACAACCTAACTCTTCTCCTCATTTAGTGTAATGAACATATTGTACTGTATTTGAACATTTTATAAATTGAAGGCTGCTTGAACCATGAATGCAGAATACCAGTGATTATCAATACAATTAAAAAAAATCTCCATGCATCCAGTTGTTTTACACTATGACAAATTTTGCCCACTCTTTAAAGTCTTTTAGTAAGAACATGTCTATTAATCTGTCAGAGTATTTATGTTCTTTTGCTATATAAGAAGAACTTAACATTCTTTGACTATGAGGTATCTCCAATCATGAGCATTCATAATCTGAAGAAGCACAATATATATAACACAGTTGTTCTGTGCATATTAATAAATTTCTCTGTATCTTTAAAAATATTTTCCTAATTATAAAATCAAGTGCTATTGAAAAATGTAAGTAGAATATATGTTTCCTGTACTTGTACCTTAAATAGTGTTAACTATTTGATCTTCAGTCTCATGAATCACTTTTTAATATGTTTTTGAAATTTATTGATTTTTTTTTTAGAGAGGAAGGGAGAGAGAGATAGAAACATCGATGTGAGAGAGAAAACTGATCAGCTGCCTTCTGCACACCCCCTACTGGGGATTGAGCCTGCAACTCGGGCAAATGCCTTCACCGGGAATGGAGCTGGAACCTCTCAGTCCATGGGGTGACTCTCAGTCCTCTGAGCCACACCGTCTGGGCTCATGAATCATTTTAAAAATACATTTGATAAATTTCTTTCTCTTGGTCTAATTTACTTAAGGTGCCAGGTGTTTGTATCATATTCTTGTATGTGACTTTGATAGAGTGTCTCATTATTCTCAAATCCAAAGTGTACATGAAAGAAAGTTTTATATTATAGTTGAATGATTCATGAAATTACTTGGTAAAATTTAATTGAAATCACTAATACTCAGATAAAGAGAGAACTAGGTGATTTATTGAAAAAATATTTGCACTTTAATAACATTTCTTGCTTTCATTATTTTCATTAGATTGGAGGAGGATGATTAGAATTTTAATTATACTTCATTTAAAAACATAAGTTTTGTGGGACTCAGATTTACAATGATGGTTTTTTCCCCATGAGTTATTTTAAATGTATGTTTTTTGTTGAGAATTATTTCATTCTTTTGTATATCAGTCTAATTTTTATAATTATTTTCAGACCATTAAAAATCTCAACTGAAGACTTTGGAAAACTCTGGTTATCCTTCGCAAATGATGTGAAGCAAAATGTAAAAATGTCAGACTCTCAAGCTACTCTGCCTTCTGCCCTCAAGACACTGCAGCAGAAACTGAGGCTTCATGTTGTTGACATTATAGGTTTGTAAAGTATGAAAGGCAATCCTGTGCTTGTAAGGGCTTTCTCATGGTCCGAACACAGAGCAGCTCTTACAAGTGTCAGATTTCTTAGCGCTATATTTCCTGGTAGTATCTTTTAGATGAGTGTGTTCTTCAGATTTTATTAAAGAATTTTTATGGTAAAATTTCCATAACAAAATTTACCTTTTTTTTTTATCCTCACCCGAGGACATTTTTCCAATTTTTGTACAGATAGAGTGGGAGGGAGGAGAGAGAGAGAGAGAGAGAGAGAGAGAGAGAGAGAGAGAGAAACATCGACATGAAAGGGACACATCGAGTGGCTGCCACCCGCACGACCAACCAGGGCCGGGGACAAACTGCAACCGAAGTACGTGCCCTTAGCGGGAACCGAACCCGGGTCTCTCTGGACCGCAGGCCAATGCTCTAACCGCTGAGCCAAACCGGCCAGGGCCAAAATTTACCATTTTAACCATTTTTAAGTGTACAGTTTAGTGGCATTAAGTATAGTCATGTTGTTGTGCAGCCATTGCCACCATCATCTCCTGAACTTTTTCTTCTTCTCTGACTAAACTGTCCCCATTAAACACTAAATCCCCATCCCCTCCCTCTGCAGCCGCTGACACCTACCACCCTATTTTCTGTCCCTGAGAATTTAACTATGTTAGGAACCTCGTGTAAGTGGAATCATGCAGTATTTGCCCTTTTGTGACAGGCTTATTTCACATAGCATACTGTCCTCAAGGCTCATCCACATTGTAGTGTATCAGAATTTCCCAATGAATACTGTTTCATTGATGAATTTACCACATTTTGTTTATCCAGTTATCTGCTGATGGCCACTTGGGTTGCTTCCACTTCTGGCTACTGTGAATAATGCTGCTGTGAATATGGGTGTACAGATATCAGTGTTTAACTCTCTACTTTCAGTTCTTTAGATTGTATGCACAGAAGTAGAATTGCTGGATTATATGGTAATTCTATATTTAATTTTTAGAGAACCTGTCATATTGTTTTGCATAGCAACTGCACCATTCCCACCAGCAGTGCACAGAGGTTCAAATTTCTCCACGTCCTCAGTAACTTGTTACTTATTTATTTAGAGAATTGCCATCCTCATGGGTGTGAAATGGTATTTCATTGTAGTTTTGATTTGCATTTTCTTAATGAACAATGATGTCAAAATTTTTTTCATGTGCTTATTGGCAGTTTGTGTATCTTCTTTGTAGAAATGTCTACAGAAATTCTTTTGTATTAAAGAATTCTTAACTTTGTTTTTTTGTAGGCAATGAAGGGCTATTGGCCTGTCAGCTGCTCCCATCCATCCCCTGTTTGCTGCATTTTCGAGTTCATGGTGATGTATTAGCCCTATGGTTCAGATCCTCCTCCTCTACTCTTCCTGACTATTTACTGTATCAGTGTCAAAAGGTGATGGAGGGATCCTAGCAGAAGCTCTTATATTTTACTCCATCAGAATAAATGGTTTACATAGATAAACTTATTTACCAAAGTAAAAAGAACTCATGGTACTTCTAATGAAAATGGGGATAATTGCAAGTTGTGGTTTTATGTTTCCTTTATGATTCCTGATCAAGAAAGATCCCCAAGAAACTGTACCCCCAACCTTTTACTCAGGATTGTACAGTATGTTTGGGTCCCAACGGGTGACCTAAGCTAATGTTATAATCTGCTAATGATTTATATATCACTTAGCATAGAGGAACTGAAAATATTTATTTTGTTATAAGTAATTTTATAGCAGATGTACTCTAGTGCTAGCTGATTTGTGGTAAAGCCAAGTCTGAGTTCTCTGCATTAATGGAGGGGAGACATGGAATTGACAACCCCAAACCTAATTCATATTTGGCTTTGGAATGCAGCGTGTGCTTTTTGGTAGGCACGTCATTACTTTCAATTATGTTTTGCTTAGATCAGTGTTGAACTAAGTTGGCATAGCACACACTTAGTTCAAGAGATCCATGAGCATGCTGGGTATTGGGGGATCCAATCTGTGATACAGTTGTTATAGATAACTTGTTATACATAATTGCAGATAATTTGGCTACAAAATTTGTCTGTTTTCCACTAGCATTTACTTTTAATATTAAAAATGAATCACTGTATTCTTATGTTAAAAATTCAGAGCCATTTACAAAATATTGTCATATGGAAACAGAACCCACAAGAGCACACAGTACTAAAGTAAACATATAAAAGGACTTTTTTGTTATGGCAAATATCTTAGTTACCACTTTGGTTCTTCTGGCAAGATGAAATTTGTGATTAGAATATAAATGGCAAAACCATTTTTCTTGGCCTTTAAATCTGCTAGTACTCAGTAGATGCAACTGAAACAGTGACTGTGTGTACCGTACAGGTTCTTCAGGAAAATCCATCATTTCCATGTTACAGCTGTGCCTCTGTGGCCTCTGCCAGAACTGCTGTCAGTCTAATGCGGATGATGGACCAGAATCTTGAGTTGTACATTAATGTTAAAAATGGAAATTATATTTTATAAAACCTTATGGTGCTGTGGAAATATTGATTATTTCACTTTTTATGACACTTCACCATGGAGACTATTCAGGTAATTTAGTTTTAAGTTATTGAAGTGAATGCCCTGGTTAATTGGGCTGTTCATCACCCAGGTGTGGAATTTTGGTTTTAGGTTATCTCGTTACATAGCTGATCAGAAAGACGCTAAGGGGATTCCCCAGAGCTGATAGATTTCATTAGTCATTTGTGTCTAGCATATTCCTTCCTAAAAACAAAACAGTATTTTTTAAAATTAATTTTTAAGTTATTCATTTGAACAAGGTGGTAATACCTTGTTACTTTTATGCTTTTAAAAGCACAGTAAAATCTTGCTGTCAGAGTGATGAAAAGTGACTGGAATTTCCCGTGTAGGTTTCTTCTTTTAAATAGAAGGTGAGATTCATCTTTAAGCTCCCAACAGTGTCATGGTGAAGGGAATGTGCTGTCTCTGGAGGTGTGGACACTGGAGGCTGGACTCATCATCTTCCTCTCTATTCCTGTCTGTCAGCAGCACCCCACCTGAGTGCTGTTACTCTGACACAGAGATAGGAAGTGCCCTCTCACGCTACAGAGGGATGCAGTGTGTTTTTGTGTCCTTGCTTCCACGTGTCTGTGTGGTCACCGAGGCTGGGTTGAGTGTAGAGCAGTGGATGTAAGGTGCCCAGCAAGCCGGTGGACAGCGTATCTGGGGGATGACAGTGAGCTGCTGCTTTGTTACAGAAGTGTTCATGAGTGGCAGCAGCTGGCATGAGAGACGTGCTTGGCCTATAGAGTGGTCTAATGGGAGAGTGTACTGGTAGGTGAGTCCTAGAAACAGGATTGTGGGTCTTCCAAAGGGAACATGGTGTCACTTCTGTTCTGTCTGAACCCACTAAATAAAAAGTAGGGTTACAGGATTTCTACTGAAATGTTCAGTAGAATGTTTACAATTTTTATATTTTTATGGTTTCAAAAACAACAAATAGTAGGAAAGAGTAGATTTTAAAGAACTTCAGAGCAATATATATTCTGTCTAAACTAATTCAGTGTTTTAAGTTCTAAATCAGGCCGCACTAACTTTTTTTGCATTGTAGGAGATGTGACTGTAAAGTAGGGAGAATGATTACTGTTGGTAGATCATCTCTACTTCCAGTCATAATGTAGTCAAGTGGAGGGGCATCATCTGGAATAAAAGCTAGGGGTTGGGGTTACTTACCTGTGTGAGTTCTGTGCCAGGCGTCTTTGCTGAGATGCAGGTGGCAGCAAGTGTGAATCTGGGGGGAATAAAGGGAAGACAGCCAAGTCTTAAGAGCAGGTAGAAGAAGAAGGATCAAGCTCCCACCAGAATAGTCTCTGTGGAGGCAGGCAGATCAGGCTCAGGAGAGAGTCGACCTGAGTAAGGGTCCTTCTAAAATCTTGCAGATGGAAGCTGAGCAGTTACCAAGTGCTTATGTGCCAAGCATGCCAATCATAGCATATGCTCTGCAGAGGAGTGTTATTTTAAACCACATTCTACCCTCATCTACCAAAAAGAGTTGTAAAAATGCAGTATTTTTTTCTTTATTTTATTCCATGTCAATAATATTTTAAAATATTGAGCTATGTGTCTTAATTTTTATGAATAAATGTCTTTATGCCATGATTGTGAGCCACTAAAGTGCACTGAACCTATTCACATGTCTTTAAGGTGTTTTGCTGTGTTAAAATTTTAGGGGGGTGGGGAATGCAGGGGAATAACAAATTAACAAGCATTACTTACCTTATTTTGGAGTTAAATTCTGTAATTTGAAATAATTCAGTTAAACATGTAATAAATACAAAGTGATCTATACTGTTCTTTGGTCTGTATATTTTTTATTATCCAAATAGCTGAATGATAAGTAGTACTGTTAAGTAATTTGATAGGCATTAACTAAAAAAAAGACTAGAAGCAATTGGAATGGGATGAAAAGAGAAATTTACTCATTAAGGCCCATAAGAATTTGGTCCAGTTGGTTATTAACAATAAAGATACTGCTGTTTTTATATTATGTTCTGAGAGAACGTTGTGGGCTTCAGACAGGTTAGAGTGTGGACTCATCCTCAAGTACCTGTCCATATCCCCTGCTTTCAACCTGGCCTGACCAGAGCATTCCAGAGTTTGGTTTCTTTAATGCCCTCTCCTCATAGCTGCTTTGAGATGGAAGAAACACAGTGAGTTAGGGAAGACTGAATCTTTTGGCCATTTCTGCGTTGTATGTATATCCTAAAACACAAAGCTAGATCAGAAATGACATTTAAATCTCACTGATTTATGCCTCTTAGTGGAGGCATACTGTATAGCAGGACAAAGTTCTGAGCCTTACAACTCCGTCTTTGGGACACTGAAGATAAAAAGTGGGTTTAAATACATCATACCCACTGCAGTAATGGGAAAGAAAGGGGCTCTTGAAGGGAGGAGTGGCCTGCAGCCAAATGGCCCAGGGTTAATGAGTGAATGAAAGTTATTTATGTGTGTACATAATGAGAGACTGAGCCTTTTTTAGTTTTTTTAAAAATATTTTTTCTTAAGATACAGTCATCAAAATGGAAAGGCTCCCCACTGTATGGGAGAGCATAATTGCCAGTGATATATCAGATAAGGGGTTAATTTTCAATATATATAGAGTGGTTATATTAACCAATATATATAGGTTAATTCAACAAAAGGAAGACAAAGAACCCAATTGAAAAATGGGCAGAGGAACTAAATAGACACCTCTCCAAACAGGACATACAATTGGCAAGAGACCTATGAAGCAATGCTCAACATCACTAATCATCAGAGAGATGCAAATTAAAACAACAATGAGGTATCACCTCACACCTGTCAGAATGGCCACCATCAACAAATCATCAAACAACAAGTGTTGGCGAGGGTGTGGAGAAAAGGGTACTCTAGTACACTGCTGGTGGGAATGCAGACTGGTGCAGCCACTATGGAAAACAATATGGTGTTACCTCAAAACATTAAAAATTGAACTTCCATTTGACCCAGTGATCCCACTTCTAGGAATATACCCTAAGAAGCCTGAAACACCAATCAAAAAGAATATATGTATACCCCCATGTTCATAGCAGCACTATTTATAATAGCTAAGATACGGAAACAGCCCAAATGGCCATCAGTAGATGAATAGATAAAAAAGCAGTGGTACATATACACAATGGAGTCCTATGCAGCTGTAAGAAAGAAAGATCTCTTATCCTTTGAGACGATGTGGAGGGACCTGGAAAGTATTATCCTAAGCGAAACAAGCCAAACACAGAAAGACAAGTTTATCATATGATCTCACTTATTTGCGGAATATAATGAACATAACTTTCTGAGTAATGGGGTAGTCTCAGAGATGTGGAAGAGGGTACAGACTGACAATCCGCAGAAGAGGGGTTGGTGGGGAAGATATAAACCACAGAACCTATATGCCTGTATGCATGAACAATGGACATGGACAACAAAGCTGGAGAGGGAAGTGGAGGGGGGAATCATTGGGAGAAAAAGGAGAAACATCTGTAACAACAACAACAACAAAAATTGCTAAAGTGACTAAATGACTGACCTCAGGAAGTTTTTCCCTAATGGGGTCTAGCAGGACATGTGCCAAGTGAATAGGGACCGGAGCCCAGTGGTTACTTATATTTCAGGGAGAGAAAAGTAATTAGAAATCTATTTAATTGTACATCTCCTTCACCCCTTACATTAAGTGACAAGTAGGAACAGAGGCAAGTCATATATATGCTTAGGGAGAGTCATTTGGTCTGAATGGTTGCCACGTAATTTAATGAAAATAAGGGAAAACCAGAGACTGGAACAAGCTGATCCCCAATGATAATAGATATCAAGGTATAATAATTTATTTTTTTCATCTTAGTTGACTGATTAGTGATGGATGGTGTTAAATAGAAGAGTTATTGTGAGCTATGGGAAAGATGAAATGATTTGAACCCAAATATTGGACCAGTCTTCACCTATAGAAGTGATGAGAGTATATTTTGTTACTCATAAGGAGCCTTTTTGAGCACACCTGAGTTTATGCTAACGAAGTGACAGAGTGGGCCCCTGCATTGTCTCAGAATGAGGTTTGTCACCAGAAAGACCAAGTGATTAGAGTTGGGACTTTCAGCCCCACTCACTGACCTCAGGAAAGGGGAAGGTTTGGGGGCTGGAGGTTAAGCTGTGTAAAAACCCTGAACAGCCCTGGCTGGTTTGGCTCAGCGATTAGAGCATTGGCCTGTGGACCAAAGGGTTAAGGGTTGGATTCTTGGTCGAGGGCACGTACTTGGGTTGCAGATTCGATTGTTGGCCCTGGTAGGGGTCATGCAGGAGGCAACCAATTGATGTGTCTCTCTCACATCGATGTTTCTCTTTCTCTTTCCCTCCCTCCTTCTCTTCCACTGTATCTAAAAATCAATGGAAAAATATCCTTGGGTAACGATTAACAAAAAAATAAAAATAAACTACAAAAACCCCACACAACAACCCTGAACAATGGGATTTGATGAGCTTAGCTTCCATGTTGGTGAATGCATTCATATCCTGGGGGGGAGCATGGGATGGTGGCACACCCCAGCCCCATGGGGACCGAAGTTCTTGCACTCAGGACCCTTCTGTTTCTTTACTTATGTACCTCTTCATCTGGTTGTTCATCTGTAACCTTTATAGGAACCTTTATAATAAACTGGTAAATGTAAGCAAATGTTTCTCTGAATTCTGTGGGCCACTCTAGCAAATAAATTGAACCTGAAAAGGGGGTTGTGCGACCTTCCAGTTTATAGCCAGTTGGTCAGAAGCACAGGTGACATCCTGGACTTGGGATTGGCATCTGAAGTGGGGGGCAGGCTTGTGGGACTGAGCCCTTAACCTATGAGATCTGACTGTCTCCAGGTAGCCAGTGTCAGAACTGAATTTACTTACAGGACACTTGAGGCATTTCTGCTGAAAACTAGAGAATTGCT